ATCCCAGTTCAAATCCTTTCACCCTTCCACAATGGGTAAAAAAGTGTCTGCAGCCACACACTCTAGAGATGGATCAGGGCATACATTGATATGTCCTATGAGTTGCTTAAACCTCCCAGATCAACAAATCTGGCAGCGTGTTCCACAAGATCAGTGGCAACAGTGGCCGCCTTTTCTTCTAATGTCTCTTAAGTAGAAATCATTAGAGCAGCAACTGGTCTGTTCCTAGCACTATTATGAGGCACTATAAGATGGGCTTGTTTGCATCAGCAGAGACCACCTTTGGTCCTGCATCAGGTCCTGCCTCATTAATTATGTTGCAGGTAGACCCACCCTAATAGGGAAAGCCATGGTATGTCTCAACCCAGTGATTGCACGATGACCGACTAGTATGAGTGGTACTCACCTGAAGAGTAGATTTGTGAGGTCATCAATGGGGCCTCTCACTAATATGGGCTGCAACTGAAATTCTTCCTATATAGCACAATGTTATGGTTATTATATTTTGAGTTAAGCTATGGTTGATATTATTGATATTGTTGGGAAGTGTGCTTTTTTGCTTGTTTTTTTCCTTACTTGTAATGTGAGAGTCTGATGACGGTACAAGCTTGGCAAGTCTGCAAACTGGGAGCCCACCCACTTCCCAGAGCTGTTCATTTCTGCCTTCGACACCAGAGGGAGCCATAGCCCAACACAGTGAATGCATGGTGACCTCACAAATCTACTCATGTGAGTACCAATCATACATTTTCTTTCACTGTGCTTAGAATGCACTCCTGACTTTTCTTTAAAAATTGTTTTATGCTATTATGATATGACGTGCTCTGGTCCATGGGGTCACGAAGAGTCGGACACGACTAAACGACTAAAGAACAACATTATGATATTTTTATTATTCTTACTGTTGTTATTAATTTTTTTAACCACCCCTCATCTGAAGAGCACAGGGGAGTTCACTACATAATTATGAACTGCTTTGGGACCCAAGAGCCCACAGATATGCTATTTATTCAGAATAAATAAATACTTGCCCCAAAGCAAGTCCAAGTTCTATAGTGATTACTCCCAGCATTAATTCTGCAGCATTAATTCACCAAACAAGTAAATATGGCTTCAATCTTAAGCCCCATCTGGGAGTAGCAGGGGTGAGTAGGGCCTACTCAGAGTAACCAGGATGGAAGGTGGAGGCAGAGACAGATTTTGCTGTAGCAGCTCTAGGCCATCACAGGACAGAGGCCCAGAATGGGTTCACTGCCAGTAGCCAGACTAGTTTAGGAACCAGCAGGTTCTGAGTGGCCCATTTCCACCCCCACCCCCCAAAACACCCTGGTACAGGGCTTTACTGGCTAATAGAGCACTAGCAGTAGGTTCCACTTGCCCTGCCTTTGGCAGGTGCAGTGAGGATCTCTGGATTCACATCCCATGTCACACACCCCAGCATGGTGGATCAGGGCGTAGGATTGCACTTCAAGTGTCAGTTTCCTGCAGCAGTTGGAAAGAAGTATGGCGTAGCAGTTTCCAGCAGCTAGTCTTCTTTGGTAGGAGATAACCACATTCAAACCTTGCTCAGCCATTTAGCTCCCTCTCAGCCAATAGCTACTTTGCAAGTGAGTGTGAGGTTAACCTCTTTCTGAGCTAATTTTAAGTGTTAGAAGAAAAGGAAACCACATAGAGAATTATTAACAGTTTAAATGCAATATGTTACTCAGAAGTTGTGGGTGATGGGAAGAAGGGGGATGGGGAGGAAACTGGTAGAAAGTCCCTGTAAGAATATGTTTGAACACAACTGGTTCAAACTGCAGTTAATTGCATTGGACTGAAAACATCAAATCCAGGCTTGTGATGTGAATGTCTTAACCCACATGTGTGTCTACCACTCATGTATTTCCTCAGTATACAGCTCCGAGAGGGGTAGGACCCTTTGCATGGAAACACTACATGTGTCTGTTAAAAATGTGTGTGGCTTTAATTCTTATGCTAAATAACTTGCACACCAGGAATTAGAAAAAGATTGTTTATTACACTTAACTAAAAGAGACCATGTGTTTGGATGCTGCTTCAGAAATCAATATGACTATTCCTTTGGGGTTTAAGTACAGTTTGTCTCCCACTATGTTCTATGAAGGGACACGGGTGGCGCTGTGGGTTAAACCACAGAGCCTAGGACTTGCCGATCAGAAGGTTCGAATCCCCATGACGGGGTGAGCTCCTGTTGCTCGGTCCCTGCTTCTGCCAACCTAGCAGTTCGAAAGCATGTCAAAGTGCAAGTAGATAAATAGGTAATGCTTCAGTGGGAAGGTAAATGGCGTTTCCGTGCACTGCTCTGGTTCATCAGAAGCGGCTTAGTCATTCTGGCCACATGACCCGGAAGCTGTATGCTGGCTCCCTCGGCCAGTAAAGCGAGATGAGCACCGCAACTCCAGAGTCGGTCACGAGTGGACCTAATGGTCAGGGGTCCCTTTACGTTCTATGAAGAGGACTTCCCGAGTGAGGTAATAATGTAACACTCAAGTCTTTTGTACCATTGTTTACTTATGCCTGCTAGTTTTTCCTTCTCGAGATGACTTTGATATGACCTTAATTTTGGGGGAAACACAACTTTATCTCTACAGTTCCTGAAAGCAATCTTCATAGTCTATTTGAAGTCTGCTTGCTGCCAGGAGGAGGTTGTTTGCCAATCCTTGTATTGCCAGGTAGATCTAGGTTTCTGATATTTTCTACAACTCATAGGGGTCAGGCTGTTAGTTGCTCACTTAGAGGTCATCTTTAAGATAAGAGCTTGTACCAGGGTGACAGCTAGTAACAAGTCTAGACTGGGCCCCATTGTTACACAAGAAACTCTTGCCACAGAAGATATTGCAAGAGTGAAATTTGGTATCACTTTTCCAGGATACAACAATGCACATAGACACCATGGGGCTATAGTTATGTCAAAAAAGTAACATGGACATCATCACACACAGGTCTGGGCTACAAACTCTAGTGCTAAACATTGCATTTACTTGGAAGTAAACCCTGTGAAAATTAATGGGAGTCACTTCCAAAGGGTGATGCAGCCTCTAAGCATGTTCATTCAGAAGCTTCTGAGATTAACCTTTTGAATGCATGTACTGCCAGGGTTGTAGGCAGCCATTAATACCCTCCCCAACTGTAGCCAGTTTTGGCATGTCCAAGCTTGAGAGCACCTTCACTCAAAGAACCATTGGGCTTGTAAGTTATTTTTCTTTTGAGTGCAGAAATGCTCTCCAGGCCTCACTATGATTGCTTGACAAGTTTCTGATTTGATCTGATTAGGGCCATTGATAAATTGCCTCATATGTCCAGAGTACTCAGGTGTGGTTTTTTTTGTCCCACTTCTTGTCATTCTTATGTTGATTGTGGGTGGCTGCCTATTAGAGTCATGTAAACAGGTGGAGGGGGTGTGCCTGGCTGAGAGCAAAATGCCCTAATCCAGCTGCAATCCTGCCTTCAAGCTTAGAGAAATCTCACCCGAGAACATATTCACTCCAAGAAAAATACCCTTTACAGGTAAGCCCAATTTTTCTCTCTCTAGTGTTACATGAAGATTAGATTATTGTTACTGTATAACTAAAACCAGAATGTTTCTCCTCAACATTTTGATTGTAGTATTTATTTGCAAGACTTTCTCTTTTTAGAGATTCTTAGGTCCAGTTAGTATGTTTAGGATTAAATTTCAAAGCTGCTTCTCAATAAAAAACTTTTGTATTATGTACATAATGATTGTTAGGGCTGATATATTTTGTGTTCAGGTAAGTTATTTGTAGTAGATAACTCAAATTGTTTTTACCTCAGTCTGACAGGTTTCTTCAAGGGGTACTAAGTTACAAAGCGCAGAAAGGAAATTCAGGTGTGATGTTTTAAAAGATTTTTTATTTAATAAATAACTTCCATGATAGCACTGTAAAAAGTGAACATTTGTTAAAATAAAAGGCACTTAAAAGAAGAATGTGGATAGTATAGAACACATGAGAAAATGGGCAGCGGCAAATATACATGGCACATCAAACAATGTTATCTCAGAACTGAAAGTCATGTTACATGACAATTGTGCAGTCTTAGCTACAATATGAAGGTAAATTTACAGCCAAGACTGCAAAAAAGTTGTTTTTACAACAATCATCTTACACAAAATGAAATCAAATACATTAAAGAAAAAGGTGACAAAGCACCAGGCTTTAACCTAAGCAAAAACATTAGAAAAACCACCACCACTGACGAATTAAGGCCCTTATGCATTCAGAAGATGTATTGGCAGACTTTTTTTCTGTACCAAAGTCAGGATTTGAGTTTACAAAGTAAAATTCTTTTTCGGTCACTATGCAGCAATGTCATAAAAAAAGAATGGCACAGTATTAAAGCTATTATTCTGAATCTATTTTTTCTTCCTATTTCTTATACATCACCCCTGACAGTTTAAAATGCATCTGTACATATTAAATTGTCTTTTACATCATGATATCTGTCTCATTAAACTTACTGCATCAAGTAAGGTTAAATCTTGCGAAAAGTCCATTATTCACAAGCTAAAGTTAATTTTGTAATTTACAAAGAATTATTTGGCTTGCATTTTAACTGTGCAAACCAAAGCCCTGATGTGCCTATAAAGAAAAAGAAAAACTGATCTAATATTAATACTTAATGGCTAGGCAGAACCCTTATACTGGTTACTTTAGCCATTTCACTCCAGATACAGGTCAGAAAGGCACCATGTGACCTTAGTTAAGGAGGCTATGCAGTGTCAAGTTTTCTTACCAATCTCCTGGCACTATTTGCAAAAAGAAAAAAAAAAACCCTTCAAAAAATAAAAACATACTGTACAGTTTTAAAACCTGCATAGAAAACAAACCTATATGTAATGTATTTAATTAGTAAATTCATTGCGATATTGCTCTAAAGCTATGTTACCGTGACTACAAAACTGCTACATTGCATACAGTGTTGTGGAGTTAGAAAGCAGTTGTAGAATTAGAAAGCAGTTTTCATTTCCCCTCATATTTAGGATTCACCACGGTTGTCACTGCACTCTTGTAGATAGGATTCTCGCCCTAGAAGAAAAAGAATTATTAATATCACAAATGACTTAAGAAATCTTACTGTAAAAGTATTTGAAGCAGCTCATTTACTGGAAGCAATTCCACACACCGTCAAACCAATCCAGAAATCCATGTGCATGTTTGACCCTCAACTCTTGCAAAGGATTACTGGATTGCAACAGGCAAGTACATAAAAAAATAGCTAAAGATCATCTAGTAGCTTTAGCTTTTATGAAGCATCATGCCTTGTATACTTTTTTAAAGAATATGTAAGAGGGTTAACACACATGGATGGCAAATCGACAGAAACCTACACCTGCTACTGTAGTGAAAGCTATGAAGGCTTTAGGCACATGCTTTTTAAGGACAGGTGCTTTAAGCATTTCATATCTTTCCTCTACAAAAAAGGTACATGGGATTGTTCCTGGAAAATGGGTTGCATTTGTACCAATGCAAAACAAAATGGTGGTATCAGGACAAACTGATTGCAACCTTATTATTCACAGAGCCTTAAGAGAACGGCCAAACAGAGGCTATGATAATAAGACATACAGAAACCTGTAGCTAATAAAGGCCAATGTTTGTCATATTTTTCATTTATAACAAGAATTGTTCATACATTTTATTCTGAGAGACACACAAAAACATAGCTCAATTGTGACCATAGCCATTCACATCTTTAGTTACTCAAGGACAGTGCTATCGAAGTGAGTGAACTGGGTGGGCTTACCACTGGCAACCCCTGTGCTACGGATAATGTTTTCACGCCATTAGAAAGCCTATTATAAGCAGCTTTGAATTGAATTCATAATTTCTGCATGTCTGGGTGTGCCTGCCAAATGGTCCTTTATATAAGCATGCAACACATCCATACACATGCATGCTCTGGAATTATTGTTTATGCAGAATTCAGAATGTTTTAAACTTGGTGGAGGGGGGGCACATAATAAAATAGAAAAAAAACAAGAGTAAAACTATTATGTGCTTCCAATGTAGCAGTTTATATGCCACACTTAACTATACCAAAGCTTAGTGCAAACACGTAAGTGTGTGAGCTTCTGGAGAGGACATGATGGGCAAAGCTGGCCAACAAGCAACCTAACTAAACATTCCATTTGCAAGGACAAGATAGAGGTAATTCTGTTGTCTGCCTGCTTTGCTGCCTTCAAAAGGGACCTCAAAAAGGCAAAGCAAGAACTCATGGCCATTTTGAGAGCTCTTGTAACAACAATTCATGCCTCTTAACTAGCATTTTTTTCCTGTGAAGTGAAAACATGCAAGAGGAAGGAAAGACTGTCCAAGGAAAATTAGCAGGAATTTGATAGAGCATTCAGAAATATCTTAGCTGGTTTCCTGGGAGCTATTATGCCTCTGGTACCCACTTGTGCAGATACTGGAAGAGTGGCAAACAGCATACGGGTGGAAATACATGACAAAGCCAGCACAGCCTCATGATGGCTTCATATTACAAAGGAAAAGAGAGAGAGAGATCGAAAGCACCACTTCTACAGTCTCGTGTGAAGAGGGAACTACAAGGTCCTCTAGTGGTGCTACATGACAAGACTGAAGTACTCTACAATATGGGTTCCCCTTTGCATGTACTTGGAGGCCTCTAACTTCTCTTTCATGGCTTTCTAGGCAAAATTCACTGCCTGTAAAAATTGGCCTTCCTTCACTAAGCTGGAAGGATGGCTGAAAGATTTATAACCAAGTGAGTTAGAAGCTGAGGAGTCAAACTTTTAAGTGTGAGATTACCAACAGAAAAAGTAGGGGGAAATGAAAAGGAAGATGTTGCATAAGTCAAAGCCAACAGCAGGATCATTCAACACCAGTTACCCATGATATTTAACTTAAAAATCCAGCTAAAACTAGGCAAATTTAGTCTTATGGAGCTGAATTCAATGAAGTTTTATTCTGAGTGGGCCCAAGTTAGTCAGGGCCATTAATTTCAGTGGGTATACTCTTGAGCAGAATTTAGCTGAGTACAATCCATGGATTTTAATGAAAATGCATTAAGCAGGGTGGTTAACACTTCTGTTGATGTTAATTAAGTCCTAATACTTCTTGTATTTGACTATAATATGCCCATATATCAATTTGGCCAGCTCCAGAGGACACTAATCTTGGTCATTTGCCCTATCCCAAAGCCCCCAATAGTATTGCTATTCTCAATTTTCAAGGGAACAGAGGCCTGCAGGCAGTGCAAGATAATTCTATTTACCTGCCCCACTTTTTTCAGTGCAGCCCCTTTAAGTGCACCTTGCCTGAGAGCCACAAACATCCTGGAGCTGGCACTGTACATATGCTCAGGCAAGTTGTTCAGATCTTACTAAGAAGGGGACAGGGCCCTAAAGCGCAACCCTAACTATAGTTTGGTCATTATTTCCCCTCATTTAAGCTCCACTGCATAATTCATAAAAAAGCAGCTGGCAAGATTGGTAAGAGTGATTAGTTAATGGCACATACAGCAGACTTTGAAGAAAGTGACATGCACAAAGAAAGAAATGGAAAGGAAAATACGAACGGAAACTTAGAGACCAGCTTTACGTCCATAGTTTGGATTCTTGAAATTATTAATAGGACTCTTGTATATAGGATTTTCTTGCTGAAGGTAGAAAAATGGTCAATGTGGAATGCAGAATTTCAGTGTACCAGTTTCCAAATAAGGTTTTCAACAATTCTTTCAAATATGACATTTCAATAATATATAGTATTGTGCTGTTTTCTGTACCAACTATATACAGTGGTACCTTGAGTTACAAACGCCTCAGATTACAAACTCTGCTAACCCGGAAGAGTTACCTCGAGCTGAGAACTTTGCCCCAGGATGAGAACGGAAATCGTGTGCCGACAGCGCAGTGGCAGCAAGAGACTCCATTAGCAAAAGCACGCCTCTATTTAAGAACAGTTTCAGATTAAGAACGGACCTCCGGAATGAATTAAGTTTGTAACTAGAGGTACCACTGTATACACAATGTATTGACTCTTAACAGAAACTGTATAGCTCAATTACATTGTAGGTAAGACCCAGGGAATTACTTGTGAATATCAAGGGTAACTTAATGTGACTGTTGTTAGTTCAAATGCTTGGTCTCCATCTAAAATTCCTGGGTGGCACAATGAAAGCCTCAAAGCCAGCCACGAGATGATACATCTATCTGTCAAAGTTATCCAGTCCAAAGACCACCAGTTTTTATTGCAAAGTTTAGGTGGAAGATCCAGAGAAACACTAAGCCAGGCTGTCTGAGCTTTATTCTAGAGCAGCGGTTCCCAATTAGCTAAGTACTGCAGACCTCCCATTTTTCAAAAGCCAAGCCATGGACCCCCTAATTTTGAAAATTTTGATTTCTCTATGGTAATTTTTGTTATGTGAATTGTGCTGTGGACTCCTTGGGTGGATTACACAGACCACTAACTGGGAACCACTGTCCTAGAGGGATGAATGTCTAAAATGTCTGAAGTATACAAAAGAACATTTGCTGTATTCTCCAGGTGTTGTGTATAGCTATCACTCACCGTATCCCACTTTGCATTCATCTTTTCCTTCTCAAATTTTGCAAATTCTCTCCTGTCATGAATGATCATAAGTAGCTTCCAAATCAGCAATAAAGCAAGACCAATAAGAACAATTCCAGCAACCACACCAGCAACGATGGGAATGATATCGGGACCTGTCGGGCATTCTAGGGAGCAAAGCAATCGAAGCACAATCAAGCATGATGTAAATCAACAATGTGGAAACAGAAATAGATGTTTGGCCAAAACAAATTCTGAATTTCTGCTGCCTGTAAGAGTTCAATTTTTACAGATAGAGCAGTTTTTAAATTAATTTATCTAGAAACGTAAAGCTTAATACTTTGTATTTTGATAGTAATAAAATAAATAAATGTATGATAATATATTGTTAAGCACTTTCTTGTTTTTGCTTTGTTTTACTTTACCTTTTCTCCACCCTTTTCACTTTATTTCTCTGCTGAAAGCCAACAATATCTATGTGAGAAACAAAACATACCTGGGGTCTTTACCACGTGGACAATGGCATTGTTGTTTGAATCAACTGAGTAGGTGAAATAGAACCAGCAGTCATCAATATCCTTCTCTTTGCAATGAGACTGTGCTTTATAGTCTCCAGGCTGTGGCAACTTCTCTCTATGGTCTACTGGTGTCAAGCTAAAATGTGAACACTCTTCTTCACAGGTGTCCTTCTTTCCTCCTCTGTTAAAAGCTCTGCACTGCACACAGTCCCTAATGCAAGTCAGATACAAGATACATCAGAATAAAATTAGTGTGGCAGTTTAGCATGCAGGAAGAACACAAAAGTTAAACAGAGGTTGAGTTCCAGTCCTCTTTAATTTTCAAACACAGCTGAAATGGAACTGCAGACACATTTTCCCTAACACTGCATTGGCTGCATCTTCCTTTTTCTTTTCAATACAGCCTCTTTGATCCATTAAGAGAGCATCCAGAAGCCTGCTTAGCAGGGCCTACATTACACTGCACTCAGTGGAATAAGAGAGAAAGGGAGGTGGACAAGGATCATCCCTGAGCCTGCTCCAGCTGGACTTTCCCCACAGAACCATCTTCCATCATGCAGCCTACTGAAATTATTTCAGGAGAGGCAGGCGAACAAGAAAGTATCAGTGCCTGCTCTTACTGGACTGTCACCTCCCCCACATCCTGGGTTTTCCACCACCAAGTAAGTACTATATGGAAAGGATCCTGATGAACTATTATATTTTAATGCTGTTGTGATTTTATTAATAGATTTTCATGTTATTTCCAAGCCAACTTGGAAGGTGGACTGCATCCTGAAAGGCAGCATATTAAAAAAGAAAGGAAGAAATTTAGCATATTTAAAATGAGTTGCAAATACATTCTAGTAATAGGTATTCAGCAACTGAACTACAATGCTGTGAAATAACTGGGTGCACTCAAGTGCAGTTTTTACACAGATTTAAGATATTCTAAAAAGGTAAAGGTAAAGGGACTCCTGACCATTAGGTCCAGTCGTGACCGACTCTGGGGTTGCGGCGCTCATCTCGCTTTATTGGCCGAGGGAGCCTGCGTACAGCTTCCGGGTCATGTGGCCAGCATGACTAAGCCACTTCTGGCGAACCAGAGCAGTGCATGGAAACGCCGTTTACCTTCCCGCCGGAGCGGTACCTATTTATCTACTTGCACTTTGATGTGCTTTCGAACTGCTAGGTTGGCAGGAGCAGGGACTGAGCAACGGGAGCTCACCCCGTCATGGGGATTCAAACCGCCGACCTTCTGATCGGCAAGTCCTAGGCTTTGTGGTTTAACCCACAGCGCTACCCGCGTCCCCTTAAGATATACTAGTTGGCTTTAAATGGTATCTGCAAGTGCAGGTACTATTTATTTTTTAAACTGAAAAGCTACACACTTCAGTATACCCAAGAAAAAAAACCCAAGGCAGTTTACAACAAGAAAACGAATATAATAAAACACTAATTACCAATAATTTTTGCTCCAGCTTAAGAATTTTTTGGGTTTTTTTGGGGGGGGGGAGGGAGAGAGAAAGCAAAGCAAAGCAAAAACATGGGCCACAAGAAGCAGCTCCTTGTACAAAGGGGAACAAAAGAATTCCCCTGGAGCAATTTGCAAATATCCCAGCAGGAAGTTAAAAATCCAAAAGCCTTACTTGTGCTCTGCACAAACTCCAGGACAGGTCGGGCACAATTCACATGTTGGCCCCGTGAATTTGGGATCTGTGCAGTTACAGACTCCACACTTGCAGATTCCTCTGCCATTACAGATTTGTCCGTTTCCAGCTACACATGGGGTGGTATCCATGTAACAATCACAAGCAGAGCCTGTATAATTTTCTGCGCATTCACACTCACGACATTTACATTCACCATGTCCTGCAATAAAAAGATAGGTATTTAGTTTCTATAAAGCACATGAAATTGAACATCAACAATTGCCATAATCTGATTTAATTTGACAGAGGCATTCAAAGCTGATTCCTACCACCCAGGTAAAGGAATAGATCATGTGACTTCTATTTCAACCACAAGATCCCGTACTGCAAGTCTCTTCCACAGTTCCAAGGAGAGGACATGCTGTAACACTAATCTCCAAAGGCCAACTCTATAGAGACAATGGTGTCCTGTTTGCAGGATATGAGGTCCACATTGTAGCCCTACAAATTTCTATGAAATTGGTGGAGAACTGCTATGAGCGTGCTTTCATAGAATGAGGTTTGGTAAAAGTTGGGTCTTGCATGTTGTGGCTATACATGACTTGACCATCTGACCGTAGTAGAGCATAAGACCTTGGTCTGCCTCAGAGGCCAGCAAACTTGGGAACAATGTGCCTTTAGAAAGCAAGGGCATAAAATCATTGTTGCTGAACAATTTTGAGGTTCATCTTGCATGCTATTATCTAACCACTCACTCTGCTTGTCCACTGGCAGTTTGCTAAGAGTGCTGATTTTAGATTGCACTGTCACTTGGAGCTCCTAATCAGAATATTCTCCTTTCAAAATGGTGTCAAAAGTTGGCACAAAGGTAAGGGATTAATGGTGTTTGGCAGGTTCCTCCCCATATAATCTTCCTAACCTGTACTGTCCAAAGTGGACAGTTTTGGCTCTCTCTGTAATCTCTCAAGTTGCACTCCCACTGAATGGCTCCCACCACAGCAAGGGCCAGCATGCACTGCCTCTAGATCACAAGAACTAGAGACATTGTGGGCACTGGAAGTCCCTGTGGCGGCCAGAGCAGCTGTATAGGGTCTTTGCTTTAGGGTCTTTGACAATACTTAGTTGTAGGCTCAGTGATTACTCATTTCCCAGTTGGCCCCCTGAGCCAGAAAATAAGAGGAAAAGCAAAAGTGGAGAATAAAAGGTTTGTTTGTTTTTTAAGGCAAAAAGGAATGATCCAGAAAAAGGAGTAGGAAATAACAGAAACCAACAAAAAAGGCCAAAGGAAGTACACACTGTAGATAGAGGAGCTGCAGCTGAACAACTTGGCCTGGGTAAGATAGGACCAGATCTGGTGGTTGAACTCTAGACCACATAACTCCTGCCTTTTACTTGATGTCTCTTGTAAATTTATAAATTAAAGTCTTGTGAAGGCATATAATAAGGGCTACAGTGTATGATTCTCCTCAGAAAAAGCCTCTCTCCTTTTAATAATAGTATTACTGTGTACTGTATTGCACACCAGAGTATCGCAAGCCAAGAAGATCTCCCAAATGTTAGGCTCTCATGCTTAGAAATAAGTACAGGACTGCATCCAAGCATTCCCCTTCCTCCAGAGGAACTTGTGAATCCTCACAGTTTAAAAGGGTCAGTTCATTACCTCCACAAATCAAGCCATCAGATCGATCACAGTTGAAGTTATCACATTCACAAAACCGGCCAGAGTAGATCTCATTTGCATTCTCTCTCTTCCTGCACACACACTGTCCACAAATACATTCTCCATTGTTACTACATATTTCTGAACTGTTTGCTGGTCTACAGGTGCCTGACATATCTTCACTGTTTACTTCATCCATGCTGCATTCACAGAGCTTTCCAATACGTCCTGGTTTACACCTAAAAGAGAAAATGGTTCTCATTACTAAACTGTTAACTAAAATCAATGCAAAACTTTCTTTCCCCTTATATACACATTGAGAAGGGGGTGGGATGAGATACTGGTGCACAGATACAGGAAACAGTCTCTTTCACGAGAGCATGATTCATCCTAGAGGCAGACGTTCCGAAACTGAAGAGCAGCAGTTTGGGGAAGCTGCTGAATGACTCTTCTACTAACTTCATTAATATAGCAGCTGCTACTAATTGCTGTAAAAATAATATAAATGCTAATTTATTCCAAAGGTGAAATGAGGCACATGCCTGCTTGACACACCAGACAATCATTTTTCTATGCTAGAAAGGTCTTGAAGAATGGTCTGCTACAATTGCACTTAAGAACAGGTCCAATCAGCCTGCAACAGTATTATGGTAATATTCACCACTTATATAATCATCATCATCTATTTGTTTATTGCCCACCTTATTCCCCACAGGACTCAAGGCAGCTTACAGATAAAAACAACACCCCTAAAGTACGTAGCATTTTCAAAATGCTATTTTCTAAGTTAAAACAGGAAAGGTAGTCCATGCCCAGCAGGCTCAAAATACAGGATACAAGAGGAAAAAGAATAAGGAGCAGAGGAGGAAGTGAGCATTGTAGCACAGTCATTTCTCGCAGGGAGGAGAAAGGAAGCTCCTCGCAACCATTTCTTCTCTGCCTGATAGGTGGGGGCCATGTTCCTCTTCTCCCTGACATGATCATCATCAGGGTGTGTTGTAGCCTCCCTGTCTACTTAGTGGCAGAGGCCACATAACGCTCCCCTTCAGTTCTACCAGTCTGTTTTCAGTGCCTCTCTCTCTTTGAATGTTTTTGAGGGCCCAAAGGCAGGAAAGTTCACTTTTAAAAACAAAAACAAAACAAAAAAACAGTGTGGTCAAAATTACTTTTGGAAATACATGGGAATTTAAAGATCCTGGTAGGAATAAGCAGTCGGTGTTCATGGGGGAAAGGAAGGCAGGAGGGGCCAGTATGGGATGACTGAAGGTACCTGAAGGCCCAGCATTAAAATACAAATTTCATGCTTGCTTAAGGAGCTGACTTGGGTTCCCTTCCTTTATTCATACTTTTTTTCCTATATGAGGAGAAAGGACACACAACTTCTCTTTGTGTAAGGATTATGTGGCACAGGAAGGAAAGAGGTTAAGAAAGAAACAAGGACGGGAAATGGTCCAAGCTAAGCAAACAATGAAGTAGCGGGGGGTAGTGAGAGAAAAATGAAATAATGATTACATTGACCTGCCAAGCAAGGGGAAGTGGGTGAAGACGCAGTGCAGAAATAGCAGGAGATGGGAAAATGAGAGGCAGGTGGTGGAGAGAATGATGAATGAAAAAAATGAGTGAAGGGCCATTTAAAGTAGGAGGAAAGGGGGAGTGGCAGAGAATAGGGACTCCTGTGAGTTCTCCAAAGCATGTTTTCAGTGTCGAGACTCAATCCTGAAGCATGTGAGGAATACATGGAGGTTCTCCTGAGCTGGTGGACAGCACATTACCTTCAGCGCTGATTCCACCCAAGAAGAATCAGGGAAAAACATTATTTATCTACCTGCAGGCACCACACTCAAATGTTCCATTTCCAAAGAAGCAAATAGGGCTGTCTGGAATTCCGTCCTTGTGACATTCACATTCACAGATGAACTCCAGATTAATTTCTACCTCTTCAGTGAAACCTAGTGGCTTGATTTTAATGGTTTCACCCTGCCCTTTTTCTGGACACTGGTTGGCTGTTACTTTAATCTCAAAGCTAACCTGTAAGCAAAATAAAGAGTACATAGGTAAATTGTTTGACACTGATTAGAGGGGGTGAAGCAATAGCACACCAATTCCAGAATGCAGAAAGTTACCTCATCTCCAATTGAAATGTTGGAGCACTTTCTTCCTTCATCTCCTGTACCATTCACTCCATTCTTGCAGAAAGATTTATATTCAATTGTGACTTCTTTTGGTAGTTTGTTGTTTTCCAGAATGACTTCTGAAGACAATGACTAACACAAAAGTCAAGTAGTTTAGTGAAGGATAATGGAACATGCAGCCAGACTTCATCTGGAAAGCCACAGGTTTTTCTACTCTGTGGTCTCCCAGATGTCCAAACAGTTCCTTAAAAACACTTGGAAAATACTCTCTTGCAAGAGATACATGTTCAACAGATTCTATCTAGTCCTTTTAAAACGTGCATTTCTGAAGGGACTACAGTGGTACCCTGGTTCTCAGACACCTTTGTACTCAAAACAACTTGGAACCCAAACACTGCAAACCCGGAAGTAAGTGTTCCTGTTTGTGAACTTTTTCCGGAAGCTGAACGTGCTCCGTTTTGAGTGCCACACTTACGTTTTGAGAGTTATGCTGAGTTCTGTCTGTTTTTGCTACTTATTTTGCATTTTTGTGGCTCTTTTTTTGTTTTGTTTTTGTTACTGTGTGGAACCCAGTTCAGCTACTGATTGATTGTGTGACATTGTTTATTGCTTTCATTTTATGGTTCAATGGTCTCGTTAGATAGTAAAATTAATGTTAAATTCCTGTTTTAGGCATTGTTTCTTAAAGTCTGGAACAGATGAATCCATTTTGCATTACTTTCTATGGGAAAGCGCATCTTGATTTTGGAACGGACTTCCCGAACGGATTAAGTTTGAGAACCAAGGTACCACTGTATTAGTTTTCTCTGTATCTTGACACAGCAAGTTTTGAACTAGTGTTACCATTTTCTCGTGGGTTTTGTGCAGCCAGCATCATTGTAGCTTACAAAACGGATAAAAGAGATTGATAAAATTGTATTGCTGATAAGATCAGCACTGCTATTTTCCTCTCCCAACTCCTCCCCCGATAAACCACACACAAACATATTGAAAAGGACTGCAGACTGTTTGAGGCTTTATAGGTTAAAATCAGCACTTTGAACTGGGTCTGGAAACTAACTGACAGCCAGTGCAGTCAAGCCAGGACCAGTGTAATCTGCTCAAACCTGTCTTGCCCTGTGAGCAAGGTCTCTGGGTGGCTAGAATGGGAAGCTACCAACTCTTTTTATACTACATATACAACCCAGAACCTCATTTGCTTAAATAAGGGATGGGGAACCTCCAGCCAGGCTTCCCCATTTGGCACAAGAGTCCAAGCCATGGCTACCTGCCCTACACCTAACGTTGTATGTGACAAGTGTGGGGCACGTAAAGGCAGGGCTTGATAAAAGGTGCTTTGAAGCTGATCATCAGTGCTGGAGAAGCACTGCACAAAGGGTTTCTTCAGTGCTGACCATCAGCTGACTGATGGCAACAGAGAAATACTGCACATATTTTTTGCTTATACATTTGATTTCAAACCATGCAAGTGAAGATTGCCATTGCAACATCAGGTGATGACTTGTGTGCATATGTATATGTGGCCAGGTCCGGATCCCCCATACATCCTTTATTGTATGCAAAACACGTTGTCTTTGGGTGTATGTGGCGATAATGAAAACTGGTGAACTCACATTGTAGGCATCAATTATCAGTTGAATCACGTTACTGGAGTTTGAAGAGAGTGTTCCCACTGCAGATTTTGGAATCAAATTCTTGAGCTCCTTTACATGAGAAGAGTGAGAAAAACATTCAGTTAAAATCATAAGCAGCAGATAGATTAATTCTATACACAAAATGCCATTTATAGAAAACCATAAAAAAGGTAAAGGACCCCTGACAGTTAAGTCCAGTCGTGAACGACTCTGGGGTTGCGGCGCTCATTTCGCTTTACTGGCCGAGGGAGCCGACATTTGTCCGCAGACAGTTTTTCCAGGTTATGTGGCCAGCATGACTAAGCTGCTTCTGGCGAAACCAGAGCAGAGCATGGAAACGCTGTTTACCTGCCCACCAGATCGGTACCTATTTATTTTAAAAGACAGCTGAAGGTGGCCCTGTTTAGGGAAGTTTTTAATGTCTGATGCTGTATTGTTTTTAATATTTGGTTGGAAGCTGCCCAGAGTGGCTGAGGAAACCAGCCAGATGGGCGGGGTATAAATAATAAATTATTATTATTATTATTATCATCTACTTGCACTCTGACGTGCTTTCGAACTGCTAGGTTGGCAGGAGCTGGGACCGAGCAACGGGAGCTTACCACCCGTGTCTCATATAGAAAACCATAGTTATACAGAATTCAATTTCTCAAGTTTCTAACACATGCATAGAACAGGGGTGGGGCAACTGCAACCCATAACTCTCTCTACATTCCCACCTAGGGTGGGTGGGGGTAAATACCATTATTGCCTAGAGAGCACCATTGGTTGTGTGGGTGGAGGCATTTTCAGGCTGGGGAATCTCAGCTGGTGAGGGAAGGGACTCTATAGAAGCTTTTGTCACTTGCTCTTACCTTGTAAACTGGTTGAAATTCTTGTGTAACAGCAAATATTATCTGAATATTATTGTCACTTAGCTTCTGAACAAGGTGTGCAATGGAGGGATAATCCTGAAGAATGAAGTTTACATTTTATATATACTTGAATTCCACACACAATAACAGTCTTATATACAATTTTCTATACAAACATAAGCAAGAGCAAACAAAAGAGTCAAAAACATTTTTTTAAAAAAGCAATCCATCAACTCTCATTAACAGAAGCCTCTAATTCTCAGATTCTTCATTCTTATCAAAGCATTACTTAGGCTTTTTCTTCTATTTTGCCAGTTAAATAAATGTTCTCCAGTTCTTGGGTTTCTCTCTGGATTCAGAAAAGGAGTTTTAGCAAAGTAGGATAACTTGGTTTTAAAATAGGCAAACCAAACTTGGCATTCTTCCTCCATGAAGAAAAATGTGAGGGCCACTATAACAAAATTAAAAATCTCTACATGTTTTTACATACAAGCTCTGCTAGCACTGGTCCATGAAAGCTTACAGACCCTGCTATTTTAAAATTATAAGCTAAACTTTTAATGGGTGTTCTTCTCAAAGCATTCTTCTACATTGGGGGGGGGTATACTGGGATTGTCTCCTATTTCTACACGTGTGTATATTTGCGTGTGTGTGTGAGTGAGAGAGAGAGGGGGGGCACACATACACAATAACATACATGTAAACACAAAAATAAACATTCTCTTAAGCATACTTACATAATAATGGCTCATTGTGTACATATTGTTATCTAAATGACATCGCCCGTCATTTGGCAAGACAATTCCTCCAAGTTTCCCATCTCCAGCAAAATGAAATCCAGCATCCGTAGAAAATACCAACAACCGAGTGACATTTCTCCATCCAAGTTTTGACTTGAAAAGAAATTATATATATATATAAAAGCGTAGATCATTGTGAAAGAATATGGTAGCAGAGTAAACTGAAAAATGAGTGATCAGTATCCCCATGGAGTTTTAGCAAATGGAAAGATATAAATAAGCTACCTTCCCGTCACTACTGTACAGTTTTGATAGTAGCTTCAGGAACATGTGCATGACATAAAAACATAGTGTGGGAAGAAGCCACCTGAACACACCCGGAATTGACAGCTGGGATGTGTTGGCACTAGGATACACTTACTCCAGCTTATGGTCAAGAGGCATGCAGAAATTACCATGCAACCTTTGCAACTGGAGGTTGACTCAGAAAGCTTCAAAGCAAGAGAGGGGGAGGATTCCATTTGTACACTGAAGTCGCCTTCCCAATTCCCTCTGAAAATTGCTGGCACCAGTCATCATGGTACTTGGGCATCCAGATCAGAGTTCTGGTCCAGGGTTTTACTCTATATCTTTACTAGCAAAGTGTGTCTGGGGAGAGGTGGGGGACATGAGCAGGGTTCTCTCAAAATACACTGCTAGCTAACAACTACTAGAACTGAAAATCAGCAGCTAGACTTTATAGGAGCAAGACTAGAAGCAGTAGAAGAGAGGGTCTGCAAATCAGAGACTGGTGACTGAAACCTTTTGTTGCTGTTGAACACACAGAGAGAGAGAGAGAGAGTACACAGTGACTACGCCTTTTGTTTCCTGTGCAAGAACTGCAACAAACAAACCCTTATGAGTACACATGTGGTTGAATGCCTTTTAAGGATCCCCACTGGCTTTTAGCTACTTATCACTGTACCTTTTCAACATTTGTGTCCAGGAAGTTAAATTATCACTTTTGATCCATTAAATCTGAATAACAGCCAAGGGTCTACAAGTCAATTGCATTTGTAGTAATATCCAAAAGAAATGAAAATACACTTACACCACAAACAGCAACCTGCATTATTGCATCAAATCCACCTTCAGGAGAATCCAGATTGCCAGAAATCTGTTGGTCACCTACAAGCTTGTTGAACAGATTTCCATCGCTGGTAAAGTTGAGTACATTCCTGTAGCTAAAAGGGCTTGTACAGTTAAGGTCAACGGTGCATGGGTTCTTGAGTTTGGCTGGTGTAGTACTAATATAAGGCATTACAGTTTTTTCAACAAAAGAGCCAAATCCTGAGAGAGAGGGGGGGGGGAGGGACATACAATGGAACTCTATTAGTTCTGAGAGCAATAGAAAGCCCTATAGAGAAGCCACCAAGTTGCAGGGCAGGTTGCACTCCAGCAAAAGACATTCTTTTTCATCAGGAAACAATGGGAAGCTTGGTCTACCAGGTAATGAAGTGTTCAGGAGGAAGTGGTTCTGAAGGGTCAGAACTCACCCTTAGCAAGGGTTATACTGAATGTCTTCTACACAGCAGACATGTTTGAAAACCTGGAGAGGCTATCTGGCTGTCATGTGGGTTTCTTTTGTGCATGTGTTCATCCCAAAGAAGCAGGACATCTTGCCTGGAAGGAGTGCTATGAACTGGGACTATGTAGACACTTTACTTTCTCAAGAGGCTGTATATGAAACCCAGTAGGAATTCCAATGTTTACATAGAAACCAATCAACTTTGGGTTGTATTCAACCAGGTCCTACTTAAAAGGAGATCCACTCAAACTACTCATTAGCTTTGAATACTATGTGTTAAGTTTGTCCATGACTTAAGTTATCTTCAGAACAAAAGCATTGACAATAAACTTGATTAACTTAAGTCTACTGATCCCAATTAGTCTACTCTGAGTATGCCTTAAATTTGATGCAACCTATTATAATCCTTGCTTCCACTAGCTTGCATATAGGCTCTCAGGTTTGCTCTATCCAAATCTGTTTTTATCCAGCAGCAATCTAATACAGAATCTATGTTATAAAAGTATGCATTTTCTTCTCCTAGTACAAACTTACTAAATCATGTTTATATTTCTGAGCACATGCATATTACACATGTATATTTCTCTTTACATTTTGACATGATAAACAGAACTTTTCTAAAGAAAAGCAAGCCCTAATTTATAATGATCTTAAACAAAATTATTACCAATTCGAAAATCTGAAGTTATATTCTTCATTTTACTCATGAGAGAAGTTCCAAGGCTTTTCACATTCTCCAAGTCATCTTTCATAGAGTAGGAGAGATCCATAAGGTAATAAAGATCAATGGGATAATCTTCAGCTCTCTTAAATTTTAATGAAAATGTCTGTGGTTCCCCTAATCCCAGAAAAAGAAATAAAAGTTTTAAAGCAAAAATTCCATAATGACACTAGACAGTACGTACGCTAAACATATTAAGTGCACTGACACTTCCACCCTATGCTTAGTGTCTCTGTCTTGCTAGAATATATCCTTGAGCTGTGATGCCACCTCTTCCTTGCCTGGATGGAGGGCAGAGATCTGTGTGTGAGGTGTCAGCTTATTTTAAAACCTCTTTGGCATTGGTGGAAAATAGTCCACTGTATGAAGTCACACCTGTTGCTCCACCCACATTTGCCTTTGGCCCTGCACACCACTGGCACGTGGCCCCCAGAAGATGGCCCTTTATTCCAACATAAGGGGAGGGTTCGTGGCCTTGCCACACAACTATAGCTCTGAGAGGGACATTGGGATCTCCTAACAAGGTTACTTTGGGAGAAGCCATGACTGCTTCAAGTGGTATGATCATGAATTCAACATACAGTGCAGATGGGGCCCAAATCTACTTAGGAGGATACTTCCAATTGGATAATCCAGTTGCTGTTTCCAATGGTAAACACATTTTTTTGTACATTTCCAGTTCCTGCTCGCTAGGCACTCCAAAATATGTATCGCGGTTATCAATGCCTGGGGCACATTCTGTGTTTCCTCTGAGCAGTTCCAAAGCACTTTCAGGATGAAGAAAAGCATTTTTGACCCCAAATGAACCTTAAACCATTTATGCATGTACCAAAATTGTTTAGAAGGCCCCAATATTCTGGAAATTATCCCACACCATGTTTCATGAAGACTGGTCATTTAAGAGCTTCAGATCTGTTTCCTGAATAGGGTAAGTTGAATGTTCATGTGCAAAAGTGTCTGTCCAAAGGAATTTGAGTTGCCGTTCTGACCAATGCTGCTCAAGGCAATATACTTAAGGTGGGGAAACTACTAGAAAATCAAGGTACAATGGCTTGATCAAGGTATAACGTTCCCACCTCAGTTGAAGCTAGATTGATCTATCTATCTATCATCTTAATGTTTTGACAGTTCTAGTCAATTTCTTGAATAATGGTGAGAACATAAGGAAAAAGACATCACTGTTAATCTGACATCCTTACCTATTCGCAGCTTTAATTGCACTTGCTGTGGTTGAATCTGAGTAATGTCTTCCGGTTTAAGATTCTCAGCAGCCCCTTTGACACGATTGGTTACTTCCTTGTTTTTCGGCATAGCTTGTGAACCTCTGGGATTTTCTATTTCATCTGGAGGGCAGCCCTTAGTTTTTAAAACTTCCAAATCATCACATTGTGCTGAAGTAGATTCTCCTTCTTGTAAGAAGGTCTAGCAAACATAAACAAAATCAGGTTCTAAATTGTTCACAGTAGGTTCATCTCCAACTATACTACCACCGTGGTTCATTCCGCATACGATTCAAAACACCATTGACATTTTAAAAACCAAATCTGATTTTCACTTTGTATTGCTATATTAGTTGCAGGAGGGAATCACCTTCAGTAAAGGTATGTTTTCAGAAATGCAAAGATACACACAGCAGGATACAGAAAAGTCTAATTGTTAATCTTGTACTAAACTGTAATATTGTTCCAAATGTTATCTTAGCTGTCTTACTATTTTTAATAGCTCCTTGGAAGATGATTGAAAGCAGCATAAAAATGGAATGGAATTCAGCAATGTTCTAGTGATGAGCAGTTCAGAGTAAACTAGCTTCACAGTAGTTTTACGATACGATACGATATCTTTATTGTCATTGTCCCTTGCGGAGCAATGAAAACTACATAAAACTACCACAAAACTACATAAAACTACCACAAAACTACATAAAACTACTACAAAACTACATAAAACTACTACAAAACTACATAAAACTACTACAAAACTACATAAAACATTCAAAAACCCCTACAAACTCTAAAACCCCATTTTAAAACACACTATACTACAGAAACCCCTTATGCTGCATTTAGAACCAGAATTGCATTAGCGTAGAAACTGTTTTTCAGGCGGCTAGTCCTGGCCTTTATAACCCTATACCTTCTTCCAGAAGGCAGAAGCTGAAAGAGATCATTTCTGGGGTGCGTACTATCATGTGCTATCTCTGCCGCTTTCTTATGGCACCTGGCAGCATAGATTTGATCTAAGGTGGGAAGAGTGCACCCAATAATTCCCTCTGCAGTCTTTACAACCCTGGATTTTCAAGAAAGATGCTGTAAGCAGGCTTGGTAGGTTTGGGCTTGGTAGGTTTCAAGCGGGCTTGGTAGGTTTCAAAGCTATCACCTGTCCGTGCAAGGAAGTCCTGGGGGAAGGGTCGAGATGCAAGGGCCTAGCAGAGCTAGCAAAAACAGGAGACAGCTGCAGGATGGGCAGGGCAGACTGTAAGGGCACAGACTCAGAAAAGGAGTCATGACACCGGTGTGGGTGTGGGTCACGGTTGCAACCACAAGCTACAAGGAGAGGAGGAGAATGAAAGAGATGTGAGGCAGACTCAGAGAGGAAGAAGTCCTGGCATTTGAAAGAAAGGGCTCTTGCTTCCAGCAGAGGGGTTGTGATGGAGCAGTAAAGCCAAAACCAGCTGGGCTCTTGCCAGGAGCCAAGTGCCAGAGAGGCAGAGGAGACATGGCAGGAACTGAACTTGAGAGACAACACAGCCAAAAAAACAGCTCTGTTGTGGGACAAAAATAAGTGTTTAGTCCAGGCACAAAAAGAAAGAGCCAACAGCAAATCTGATGGCGGGCCTGCACATTGTCATTGTTAGTGTGCCTGCAACCGTGAGGAAGAAACCAAAACCAGGAAGGTTTTATACATAATTTTGGCGAGATCACGTCTGAAGGGAGGGAGGGAGTAATGTATTCATTTGATGTAGAGCTACCCCATCATAGCTCTCAGTCCTGGAGGACCTGCCCCCTGCCTTGCAAGCCTTTTTCACCTGGCCTGAGAGTTACAAAAGCTGAGGCTGCTGAACAGAATCTTGGGTTGGGGTGGTTTTGGGCGGGGGGAGCAAGGAGTTGTTGCTGTTGATTTATTGTATCTTTATTTTAGATATTGTTGTGATATCTGTGGAAACTGTTCTGTTTGGTTGTGTTCTTTTAAAATTGATTTATTCATTGTTTTTTACTCCTTTTGTTATAATGTTGTTATGTATTTTTTCATGCTGTAAGCTGCCTTGAGCATGGTTAGAAGGATGAAAGGCAGCATACAAACAAAATTATGGATGGATGGATGGATGTGTACCTTCAAGTGTGGAGGATGCCAAGTAAGATTCTTTCCTCTTGGAAATAAGTACACAATACACATCTGTAGCATCTTGATAAGAATATACACTAGTGGCCAAAATTGTCTTTCCATTGATATATAATTTTATGGTATTACTCCAAAAAAAAAGTGGTGTTATTAGCCATCATTGCCAAAAGAAGATGACACCTGACTGGCTCTCTAAAAATTCCTTTTTCTGGTTATTTGGCTATAACTTTTGATAGAATACAGATAATTGAACAATCTTTTTTGCATTACATTCTCCATTAAATTATCTTTCCATTGAGCTGACAGCATTTCGCTGGGGTCTGAAGAAGAGGTGTTTCACATCAGCTACTGCTTGACCTTTTTAAACGAGAGATGCCAAGGGCTGGGCCTGGGACCCTCTCCATGCAAAGCATAGGACTCTGCCACTCAGCTATGGCTCGTTCCCCCTATTTTAAATATATAGGAGACCCAGAGGAAGATGCCAGACAGGTTCCTGAGGAAGTATACTCAAAGCAGCCCATCCAAGACCCAGAATGGAACAGTGAGTCATTGCTGTCTGCTGGTTTACATGACCACACGACCAAACAGCCAATACCTGACACTTTGCATGTAAAATCCAATGGAGAACCATTATTATATGCTACAGCACAAAAGCAATTTGTGTTTTATCACTTTCACACACATGGATGGGGCTGGAAGTAATTTCTGTAAAAGGATGACCAGGAGGACAGGAACTGCTCTTTGCTGTATCTGTTAGACAGCCCAGTTCATACATTGTATTTATCCCCTGAAGTTTAGTGGGAAAACACCAGTGAACAAAACAGCAAACCAAGTACAAATTGTGCAAACTAGCAATGGCCCTAGAAAGGAACTATTAGAATTAACAAGCAGTGGAAAAACAAAAAGGGACCAAGTTAAGTTTTCCCTTTTCTGGCTTCAACATACCATACTACTGTAATTTATTTGACTTCTTCACTGTAAGGTTCCAAGGCAGGTTGCTGAAATTTACTATTTAACAGTTTAAAACAAATTATGCTCACAGCAGTAGAGTTGGTCCTGAAAATATACACCTCAGGTGTCAAAGGCCAGGGCAAAGTGGCAAAGCAGAATACAGGTATTTTATTTTGGGGGGTAGAAACCCAGGAAGCTATTCAACGGTTCAGTGGAACCTAGCTGTCAGAAGCAGGGCTCTAGCCTAGTCTTCTCTTCAACATTTTGCTTTTATCATTAAAAAAAATTATACCCCACTCTTTGTCTGTAGACTTTAGGATAGGTGATGGCAATCAAAAACAAAACTATTAATCACAATTAAAAAAAACAAGTTATGTACATTATTTCTTCTCTGTATCTCATGAATCAAAAGGCCTGTAAAAGATAGGCATTTTCAGTTATCTCTGTGCATGGATTTTTGTTATTTTTGCTGCTGTTGTTTCGGAGAAGTATTCAAGCATGCAAGTCCCGATCTGCAGTCTGAAATAGTACATTCCATACAGAGGTTTAACCACCTCTGTGAAACTGGGCCTAAGGATTGTATCAGAACTTAGGACTCAGGACATTCCAGGAGTCAAACTAGATTTAAAACGCACAGAAAATTCTGTTTCCCTGTCCACCTGCTTTGTCTGCAGCTAAAGTTACTGCCCTTCTAATATCACCAGGAGAATATAATTAAATCCAGACAGAGAGACTCCGGAGTGGAATGATTTTAAATAACTATGAGGGAGAACTTGGGAGGGGGCAGAGTCCTTGCCACTGGCAAAGGGAAGAGGACAAAGCCTAAGGAGACTGCATTCTTAAAATAAAAAAAGATTTTAGTAACAGAGTGAAGAATTTACCCATTCGCCTGGTTCCAACTGCAGATAGCAACTGCTTCTAGCTAATCAGGGCAACGTGGATCATTTCAGAGAATTCGCCTCTCTACCCCCTTCACCTGGCATTCAAGAGACCTCGGACTATTTCATGCATACAAGTCAACTACTTATGTCCACATGACAAACACCCCTGTCCCTGTGTAGGGAAGGGGGCATGGAAAAACAGCAGTGTGAACTAAGCTATATATGGATACAGCCAGCAGTGCCAATCTGATCATTACAGTTGGAAAGCAAAACAGTCACAGCATGCTATTTGACAGATAACTTGTAAATAAGTCAAAATATTTCAACTGATGCATAGGGGACACACTTATTTCTATTCCCAATGGAGTATTAAAAGAGAGAAATGGCAAGGAATCTTTCCTTGCAAATCTGCCTGTTTCTTTCCTGCTGGTCATGGGTGAGGTGGAATCCCTTCCCTGCAAATTGAATTTGTGGACAAAGCACCTCAAATTGCACCAGGGTCTTTTTATCCTGCTGTGTGAAACAAACAGATCCATTCCATCTCCAAATCCACTGGCACATGCAGAGGAGTTCGGAAATAAGGCAAAGGTGTTTCACCCAGATACAAACAGGGAAACTCAAATGCACTAAGAGAAGGTCTTGCTCTTGCTACTTCCTATTGTGTATTCCAGCCCAGGTTAACAGATGATTCTTTCAAGCAGGGGAAACACAGGGTCATTTGTTGACCTACTGGTGGGCTGGAGCAAAGATAAATTTTGAGGACCGCCCAGCCCAACCCAGGTGAGTAAATGGCCCTGCCACTCTCCTGGAGAAAGCAGTCTTTCACCTTGCACCTTACAGGAACTTCAAAGCAGCACAGGAGTCCTGCTACCCATTTAATTGTCACAACAACCCTGAGAGGTAATTAGGTTGAGAGTGTGTAACATAACTAAGGTCGCCCACAGAGCTTTATGGTCTGACTAGTGATCAGAACCAGAGTGTCTGCATTCTTATTCCAGCACTAACTATACTGGCTCTCAAAAACCTCTCCATGTGCACAAAAGCATCTTCCAAAGGCACCAAGGGCTCATTAAAACAAGGAAGGTTATTTCTGACAAAAAAGTATTTGCTGGTCTTGATGCTGCTGCCAGCACTGTTTCCTACCAGTTCCAGAATAACAGTGACGACGACGACAACAACAACAACAATAATAATAAAAACTTAACCCCAAAGCTAGGAATTGTTATTCACAAAGCCAATCTTAAACATACATGACAGCCTGCACATCTCCACCACCAAAATTTTAACTGCAGCAGACTTATTGTTCACATCTGCTCTGCACTTTGTAGAGTCTAACACTGACCAAAGAAACCCGTAGCTTTCATTTGCAGCTTATTTATCAATGCAAAGGAGTGTATCATAAAAAGTTATTGAATGTATAAGAATAGCTACAGATAAAATGAAATGGGAAACAAAATATTGCAAAGGAAATATATTTTTTAAAAATACGTACTGCATTTTTGCACCATCCACAATTTGGTCCAGCTTGTATACAATCAGCACATGATTTAGCATTAGCTTTTATACAATTGCTCCCACCTATAAGAAAATGCAAAGGTTTTTTTTAAACAAATGACAACACATACCTAACTTAATGTACTGTATAAGTAAATGTCTTACTAGCCATAAACTGAGGTTCAAACTAATCATTATATCTATAATTAACATATGATTGCAAGTGTTGCTTAACAATCAATTCCACAAATGCTCAGAGCCTAGAGGGAAAGTTGGAGCACCAATGCACATTTCTTCTGTGCCGATCATAATTCATTAATTAGGACTGCTTCAATCCTAAGTAGGACTGCTTCAAATGCCATGGAACAATCCTCCACATAAGAAAAATCATGAAAACCACAACAGTCATGCATGACAAATTGCACATGCATGCATTCATTGCACTGCACACACGATGAAAAGGTGACGCTAATCTAGATTTTCCAATGTATGTACAAACAGTAAAATAGATGCAGGTGAATTCCAAACATAAAGGATGAAACGGCGGAACGTAAAGACGTTCTGCAAGAGAAATTGCACCTGCATCTATTTCACTGCATGTTCGGAAAGGCTGTTCGGTTTTTCTTACTTGGAAGAATAAGAGGTGCATAACATTTCAAATGACCTGACGTGGGACAAGAGTACAATTTCAAGCTGTAGATGCAGTTCAGCATCCTTCAGATGTGGCTACACTAGAGAAACAAGAGTGTGGTTCTGAAGATACAGCTCAGTCTCTTCTCCAGGGCAAACACTTCCTCCTCCTACCTCCTGTTCATATGTCCTCTTTGCCTACAGTTTCAGAAACATGAGCAAAGAGGTTAAACCAATATGGATTAATGTTGTATGAAAGTGAAACAGGCAGCATTTGTCCTTGAATCAATTCAAAACAAGCATAGCAAGCTTACACTGGATAGCTCTGGAATTAATAGGTCACCTGCACTGTAGAATAGAAAATCAGTCTACGTTTTCTAAACCTGTACATATTTCCATTTACCTTGTTGGGCAGATCCGCAGACCACAAAGCAGCTTAATAATCCAATCCAGATGAGAAACTTGAAATTTGCCTGTAAAATAAAATAGAAATAATTGAACTAGTTAACTATTTCTATTCCTTCGTTACAAGCACTTATGTCAAAAGTATATACATAGCACTGTCAACTGCACTGTAAGAAGAAGGTTATACTTATACAATCACTGTTTAAAATGTTGCAGTAAGAGCAGAATGAATACTGTATTCTGTCCTCCTGGAAGCAAAGCTCTACAGATCAGAAATAGGCATGAAAAACACAGCATAGAAAAACATAGACAAACACACAGATCTCATGTAACAGTACTTTTTCTTTAACTGCATTTGCATGTTTGCATATGAATTACTACTTTGAGCTTTATTCATGTTTGTAGTACAGTGGAAGCTCAGGTTGCAAACGTGATCCGTCTGGGAGGCACGTTTGCAACCCACAGTGTTCGCAACCCACAACGCTGCGTGTGCGCGGGTCACGATTCGGCGCTTCTGCGCATAGCACAATTTAGTGCTTCTGCGCTGAAACCTGGAAGTAACCTATTCCGGTACTTCCAGGTTTGGACCGGTGCACAACCCGAAAACGCACAACCTGAAGCGTCTGTAACCCGAGGTATGACTGTATTGTATAGTTTAATTGTGGAAAGGTATTCAATATACTTAGAAAAAAACTAGAAAAGAATCCACGACATCCCCACATCACTGCAGTGATTCCAACTATAAATTTAATACAGTGTACAGTTGTAGAAACTAACTAATACCTCTTTTATCACAAGTACATGAAGCACAGGGAAAATGTGGGTGTGCCTTTTTTTTAAAAAAAGAATTTGTTATGGGTCAATATTGGGGGCTCTTGCATGAGAAAACAAATCTCAATTTCTCCCAACTAGGCTTGCTTTTATTAACATCTTAATTCCATGCATTTCTGATTTCTGATCAGGGAACCACGACAAAAGATCAGGGGGATGCTGGAGACATAGTGTATCTTGATTTCAATAAGGCTTTTGACATAGTCCACCACCATAGTCTTGTGGTAAAAACAGCTGGTAAAATGTGGACTGAAGAAGGTAACTGTTAGGTGGATTTGTAGCTGATTGACTGACTGAACCCAAAGAGTTCCTCATCATCCTGGAACTAATGGTTCCTCGTCATCCTGGGGGGGAAAGGGACAAGTGGGGTGCCGCAGGGTTCCCTCCTGGGCCTGTTGTTGTTCATCATTAGATGATGGAATTATGGGGATGCTCAACAAATTTGCAGATGACACCAAACTGCCACAGAAGACAGGGTCTGGAAACCAAGTCTTATGAGGAATGGTTGAGGAAGTTGGGCATGTTTAGCCTGGAAAAGAAGAGACTGAGAAGAGATATGATAGCCATAATCAAATATTGAAAGGGCTGTCACATGGAAAATAGAGAAAGCTTGTTTTCTCCTGCTCGGGGTGGGGTGGGGGTAGGACTCAAATCAACAGCTTTGAGTTACTAGAAAGGAGATCCCAACTAAATATTAGGAATAACTTTCTGACAGTAAAAGTTGTTTGACAGTGGAACTGTCTCCCTTGGAAGGTGAAGGGCTCTCCTTCCTTGGAGGTTTTTAAGCAGAGGTTGGATGGCCATCTGTCATGGATGCTTTAGTTGAGATTCCTGCATTGCAAGAGGTTGGACTAGATGACCCTCAGTGTACCTTCCAACTCTACAATTCTATGATCTGATGGGAACATATATAGTTTTAGCAGACTGCAAAGCACTTTGGACTGAGGTGGCCTGTTTTCCAAAGCACCATAATGCATTTCAAACCAAGTATTGTAGTTGAGGCAGATCTCTAATAAGGATCAGCCTTTACTTTTTCAAATGTCTGGAAACTATTTATTTCCTGCAAATAAAGACATCTAATTAGCAAATGCAGTTGTAGTTATGTAGCAGATGCTGACTAGCATTTTGTCATCACCTTAGTGCATTTTGATAGTTTGAAAACCCTTACCTTACAATTATCCAAAAATCTCACTCCCACTCCCCCTGCCACCAGAAATCAAAGTAGAGGCAATGACTGTTTTATGCTCGTCCAATAGGCGTGTGACCGCGCATGTACGCATCACTGCAACCAGGAAGTGGCCAGGAAAGGGGACAGCGTGTAACAGGGTGAGCAGGCTTATGCATGCTCCGCTGACATGTGCAGGGGTCAAGAACGTAACCCCTGTGAAGAACCATTGTTACCTGTACAACAATTCACCAGACATTTCTTATTGAAGTTTCTAGTGGAAGCAAAGTTATTGCCTCATTCTTTGATCAAACTCAGCACCATAGATGCTTCCCACCCACAACTCCTTCAAGAAGAGATTATTCAGCCGGGTGTAACTTAAAAGCCCATATTTAGCTACACAAAATCAATTTTGTTTAGAATATAAATAGTTCTTACACAGCTTACCACAGCCTGTATGTATTACACAGCAGTATTTCCACATCATACCTTAGCCGTCATAAAGGCATGACTTGCTTTAAAAAATCCCAACTATCATTAAGAGGCAGCACCCTATGATGACTACAATCTTACTGAGAGAGAAAAAGATAAGTAGAAAACTAAGCTTCTTTGTTCATCCATATTAAACCTGGAAACACTTATCTCATTATTCATGTAATAGGAGGATCAGTCAAGAGACAGAAAAGAATCATACAATTTAAGCCCTATAATGACAGGCTATTCACCAGCACCAACCAGGACAGCTGTTACATGGTTTGACTTTTTTGCCATGTGGCACTGCTCTCCTAAAAGCAGCATGTTCACTACATATTCAAGGTGAGGTAAAAAGGAAATTTCTGCCTAGTACATGCATAACCCAATGTCTGTCTATCTTCAGTAAAAGGAAGTTCACCATTTCCTTTAGAACTCAGACTTTTAGATGCTCCCACCCAAGAAAGCCAACAAATGCTCAGTGATAGAGCTTTAAACATCTTTGATGTTCCGAGTATTCTCAGTCAACCATAAAGTATTTAACAGATCATATGTACATTTCTTATAGATAGTAAGTAGGTATTGAGCACCTAATCATGCAGCAAAAGTGAGGCTTCCCACCCTCTCATTTTTAGACTCCTACCCATAACAAAAAGAAGAAACAATTCAGACAATTTGTGACCCCCCCCAGTTCCCCAACTCAAAAGCAAGGATGCGGGGGGCCTGTGGCCCTTCAGCTGCTGTTGGACACCGACTCCCATCAGCCACAGCCAGGATGGCCAATGATCTGGGGTTATGGGAGGTATTGTGCAACAACACCGAGAAGGCCAGAAGGTCCCCATCCTGCTTTAATGGCTTCAAAATGTGTAAAAAAATGAGATCTGAGATTTAGAAATGGGGAGGCTGTGTGTAAATCACAATTATCACAGTTATTTTACAGGCCTCTTTTCAGCTCTAAAAAGGGCCCTAAAGCAGCTCACATAAAAATGTTAGAATGATAATAAAATATTCTATATGATAAGAATACATAAGATTGGTAAGAATCTCGGCTTCTATTGAACAAGTCGACAGATATATACAATAGAGTTTCTAGTCCTCAAGGAATGTGTGAAGATGAAGCAGCAGGAGTCAGAGAAATTCCAGAATAGTGTTTTTGGTGCTCAGCAGTGCCCTTTATTGCTTCTCGCCCCCCAATAACTGGCAGAAGCATGCTCTAAAAGAAGTCATGCAAAGCCCTCCAACATAATGTATACAGCTGTGTGAGTGTTCCCCAGCCGAATTAATCTATCTTTATTTCCAGTGTGTATTGTTTACTTAACTCTATCTTGTAAACTCATGAAATGAAAAGAAAAACTTTTCTCGTATTACATGAGAATCCCATACAGAATAATACCATGGGAAATGGCAATTAGATTTTAAAAAGATTTAAAATTGGTAGTATTATCTCCATTAACACCACACCCAAAGGAAGGGAGTATTTCCTGCTGTGTGTGTAAGTCAACTAATGAAATAGATTAGAAACACTCCTGACCATTCTACTGTAGCCATCAAGTGAATATCAAGGTGCTATTGTGCTCTCTCAGACTCTCATATAGAGTGGTACCTCGGGTTAAGAACTTAATTCGTTCCGGAGGTCTGTTCTTAACCTGAAACTGTTCTTAATCTGAAGCACCACTTTAGCTAATGGGGCCTCCAGCTGCCACCGTGCCGCCGTAGCACGATTTCTGTTCTCATCCTGAAGCAAAGTTCTTAACCCGAGGTACTATTTCTGGGTTAGCAGAGTCTGTAATCTGAAGCGTATGTAACCCGAGGTACCACTGTATATACATATACATGCATGCATACATATCCCAGCACATTATCAAACTGAGGAAGGGCCACATGCTCTGCATGCAATATCTGGCTTCTACAGGTAAGGCTGCAAATGACTCCTGTTAGGAACCCTGAAGAGCTGCTGCCAGCCAGTGTAGACAATATTGTGCTAGGTGGGCTGATGGTCTGGTTTGGCATCAGATTCCTATATTCCCAAAGTCATACCATGAAATAGAACCCTAGGTGGGGATATACAGGTAAGAGTTGGCTCGGTTCTCAATGGATCCCAGTGCACATGTTTTGCAGAGAAATGTCCAGGTTCAATCAATGGCACCATCCGTTAATGAAAAAAGGAGAAGGTAGCAGATTTCAGACCTCCCTGCTCAAGATACTGGAAAGCTGCTACAAATCAGAGTAGGCAATACCAGTTTAACTGGATAAATAATCTGACGCAAAAAGGTAGCTTCCTAAGATATCTGCAGTGTGGTGTAGTGGTTAAGAGCCAGTGTGGTGTAGTGGTTAAGAGCGGTAGTCTCGTAACCTGGGGAACCGGGTTTGCGTCTCCGCTCCTCCACATGCAGCTGCTGGGTGACCTTGGGCCAGTCACACTTCTTTGAAGTCTCTCAGCCCCACTCACCTCACAGAGTGTTTGTTGTGGGGGAGGAAGGGAAAGGAGAATGTTAGCTGCTTTGAGACTCCTTCGGGTAGTGATAAAGCGGGATATCAAATCCAAAATCTTCTTCTTCAGTATATAGCACTCTCTCCTCACACACATAACCACCTACCATACTGACTGGTATTTCATTAATGGGATATTAATGGGAAATTTCAGTGGATTTTTTTACTGCCTGTGAAGAAAGAGGCAACCATGAAGGATGAGCCTTCATGTATAGCATCTCTAATAATGGTCCAATTCACATATATAAACCATGATTAACAAATGAAGAGGGAATTCACTCCTCCCCTGGTCCTGTTGTACTACCTAGGGCTAAGCCATGGTTTGGCTTTGCACTGCATCAGAACCCGAAACCTTGGTATGTCTCCCCCAAACTACAACCAGTAAATCAAGAAACTTAAGTTTGTTTTTGCTAAGCCATTGTTTGGATTATTATGTTCATAAGTACTAGAAATTCACATTTTGAGCCATCCTGCTATCATACATACATAAAAACCACACAAGTTGCAGCAGCAATTATGGTTCCTAGAACCATTGGCAAAGTGACTACCACAATGTTGAGACTACAGCTAAAATAGGAGACACAGGGAAAACCCATCTATCTGTAAAACACTCCTGCAAATTCCATTCCCCTGTCCCCCAAAAATCACTACCCTGAGAAAGGCTGAGTTGAAGGGGTTGGCTGAAATTTAGTTTTTTAAAAATCCCATTGTTGGTATTGAGCCATTTTTAAAAATCCAGAAGAAGCTCTTAATCACATGTTTTGGGTGTTTTGGAAGTTCTGCATTTCAATAAACAAAAATACTTGCTTTGAAATAATTAGTGTTAAAGCTTGGTACAGATTTACATTCTTCTCTGTAAAAGAGAAAGACAAATACAAAATGCAAATAAGAAATCAGGATCTGAAATCTTATTTTGTTACTGCTTTCACAAGAGTTTAAACAAACCAAAGCTCTAAGTTCAGACATTATGAGAAAATGTGGTTTGTTTAAAAAGCAAGCGTTTCTTATTTCTGCGCCTGTTGGTAGTCTGAGAACTCACATAGATAGAAGGAGAACATAGAAGGAGAAGTGAGTTAAAGTCCTTTTCAGATGTATCTTTTAAAGATCTCATTATTGCTGACTGCTTCTATTTAGTACTTTTGATACGTAATCATTTACTGCCTAGAAAAGGCTGCTTAATCATTTCCTTGGGATACATTTTTTGGTGACACAATAATTAGTCATGCTTTGTCATCAGTTGGGTAGATGCTTACAGCCTATACCTCACTGCCTTTAAAAATGTTACAGGTAAGACGCTATCTCTGATTGTACTCGCCAAATTATACTAAAGAACAGCCAATCTATTCATTCTTCTTCCTAGTTATTTTGGCTACAATCCAAACTACATGCACAGAAAGGTTCCGCAGCAAGCTGTAAAAGCCATAAAGACTTTTTGGTTTACGTTATTCTGCAACTGATGAGAGGAAAATCTTGGGAGGGGAGGGCTGCAACATTTCTTTGCTGGGTTGCAACCAATATTATCAGAACTAGTGTGATACTAAATTTTTACTTTCATAAACTTCATTTCATGCAATTCCACCGGCTTCCATGTCATTATTCAACGTGACTAAATTGCCATTTGCATGTCAGTACAATACAACACGTAGCATCAGAGTGTGACCTGCAGTCCCAATTTTAAATCTCACTTCAACAAGGCAGCCTCAGCTCTTCTTACATGGCTACTGTAAGGATTACATATGAAGTTCTTCAAACACTCTAGAGCACTATATAAATAGCAATTAGCACACACTTTTAAACTATCATAATTCCAAACAATCACTAACAGATGAGTACTTAATAGAGCAGCGTAATGCCCAGATACATACAATATTACTTATACCAAGAAATGTTTTGGTATTTTTATAGTTACGAGTAACATTCTTAATCTGAGTTTTGTCAACAATGTTAGGAGCTGTGTAAATTCATCTTTAAAACTGGGTAATGCCACATCCCAATACAGTCGTACCTTGGTTCTCGAAAGGAATCCATTCTGGAAGTCCGTTTGACTTCCGAAAACATTCGAAAACCAAGGCGTGGCTTCCAATTGGCTGCAGGAGCTTCCTGCACTCAATCGGAAGCTGTGTCGGACGTTCGGCTTCCAAAATATGTTTGCAAACCGGTAGACTCACTTCTGGGTTTGCGGCATTTGGGAGCCAAAACATTGGAGTTTCAAGGCATTTGAGAACCAAGGTACGACTGTAGAGTCCTTGAAAAATTCCTATTATTATTATTAAACCTGAAATGTCTTCCATTTATACATGTTTGGAAGCCTTCTTGGCCGGTGTTGGAAGAGATGTACCATACTATACGTACCCACTGCCATCTTTCAACTTGGGCAGTGAGAAACTCTTCAAAGCGTAGGTGACAAGGACAAATAAACCTCAAACCGTAATACAATCTATAGTGCACAGAACTGGGTTAAACACAACATAGTTAATAAGATTAAACAGTGTGTGAGTTTTTCAATAGTTAACTAAAAATAAATAAATCACATGTTAAATTCAAGGGGATAAGAGTCAATGTGCCTTTTCCCTTAGAACAATCCACACATGTTCTGAATACACAATAACTGCCCTTGCTCATTTCACCTCATTGCCAGCATCACATCTAAAATAATAAAATGATCTCATAGGGCTTTGACTTTTATATTCTATGCATGGAATTGGTTCTTGTCTATAAAACCAAATAAATATTTAAGGCACACACAAAAATCTATGCCCTGCGCTACTTACATAATATACTGCTTGATTTCAGGAGCACAAATAGGGTAGCAGTACCCAGAAAAATAAAAATAAGGAAGTATTATTTATTTCCAATATTCACATACCAGTTTTCACTACTAATGGTGACAATAGTTTATAAAACAATGAATACAACAATTTTTTTCTCAGAAGCACAGGGGGCAGATGCACCACTAAACCATGGTTATGAGAACAAACAGACAAGCCATAGGCTTGTGCACAGCACTTCAAAGATTCCAATTCTATTTAAGAAGGAAAACATAGTTTGCTGTTCTATCCAAGCCTGGCATGCTGGTTTGTGCAAATTGTACCTTGCTTGCAAAAGGGGATCATACCCTAGGTTACAATCCTGGGTTGCTGGCAAACTATAGTCTGTTGAAACCATCAATTGCTGCTCTTTTAACTGCCTAGTTTTTTGCTATTGTGATTGCTATTTAAAAATAAAAATAAAAAAATAGCTGACTTTGAACTCAAGAGGCCAAAGGTGTGCTATAAGTATTCAGAATAAATAAAGGGTTATCCAAAAGTAAGTCCAGGCTCTGTAATGTTCCTCCAAAGTAAACATGTCTAGGATTTAAATAACAATTCATTGAACAATAGAAAACAACTGCAAACTTAACTCCCACCTGGGAGTAGCAGGGGTGAACAGAGCTACTGTATCCAAAGCCTTGCAGCTAAAGCTAAGGGGTGGTGGTGGTAGCAATGAACTTTGCTGCAGTTTCTCTAGTAGTTTATGAACCAGGAGGTCCTTGAATGGCCTATTCTGCCTCTGGCTAACGTACAGGGAGTGGAGGATTTCCATTGCCCATTGTTTTGGCAGGTGTAGTGGAGATCTCTGCAGTGCTACATCCTCTATAACATTCTCCAGCAAGGTGGATCAGGGCTTAGGACTGCACTTCAAGTGACAGTGTCAATTTCCAGAAGCAGTTGAAAAGAAGAACCCTCCAACCTAGGCCTACTTTGCAGGTGTGTGAGAAGTTAACCTCTTTCTGAGATAATTTAAGGTGTCAGAATTAACAGAAACCAGATAGGGATTTATTAGCAGTGAAAACATAACATAAAACGGGACTCAGGCATGGTTGACAGAAAGAGGAGAAAGTCCCTATAAGGGCACGTTAACATGCACACATGGACATAACTGATGCAAACTGCAATTCACTGTATTGGACTGAAAATCACGCATGCAAGTAAGAACAGTCCCAAAACTGTTACCACAAAATATATTATGAGAGTGAAATCCAGTATCACTTCTCCAGGAAACAGCAACACACATAGCCACCATGAGGCTTGAGCTGCGTGCCAAAAAAGCCACACTTAAGTCATTAAACCTTGAGGTAAGCATGCACATATCTAGGCTACAATATTTGCAACTTTTACTTGAACGCAAACTCTGTGAAAAGTAATGGGAGTGGCTTCAGGATGCTACACTACAGTCCTAAGGCTATGCAAACATGGAGTCCCTTTCGAAGCATGCTCAATCAGAAAAAGTTCAGCTGCGCTTAATGGAGCAGACTCCCAGGTATACATAGGAATATGGCCCAGTTCCAATGCAGTTCACAAAATGTACTTGCAAATTTGGTAGACACTGTTTACTTTTAAGCTTTGTAAAGTCTATCAGGAAATGGCATGACAGGCATTTCCTGTCTCTTATGTTGGCATTCTCCTTCAGCTGGGGCATGATTAACACCATCAACTTACAGACACTATTGGGGGAGGTGGGAGAGAGAAAGCAAGGGGCATAAATCTCCTGAGCCTTTCCAGATGTTGGCACTCCAACTCCCATCAGCCCCAACCAGAATAGCCAGTGGCGAGGGATGATGGGAGTTGCAGCCCAACAACATCTGGAGAGCCACAACTTCACCATCCCTGCTCTAAAACCACCGACGTCCAACCAAAACAGCCCATCCAACACCACCACCACACCCACCCACAGGGAACGAGGCTCGTGGCACCCTTTAAGGCTAACACAACAATTGTGGCAAAGGTTTAGTGAACTAAAGCCCACGTCATCCGACGTGGCCAACAAATCCGTTAACCTTGTATGGTGCCACAAGATTCTTTTGTTGTGCTGCTGGCTGCAACATCTCTGCCTGCCTGGAACTTGCAATTAAAAAGTCATTTAGGGAGGGGAGGACATATATAATAAATGATAATAATAATAATATCCTCCGACGCAAGTGCAGTTCCCCCCCGCAGCACCTTCGGTTATTCTCTCCCCCTCGTTCCCGCCCGGCGAACACGCCCTTATAAAGGCACGCTTTGGCTTTTCGGGCTTCTGAAAAAGGGCACACGGCGCTCCTTCCTCCCTGCCTCACAGAAAAGACGGGGGGGGAGGGCAGCGCTCTCCCTCCTCCTCCCTATAAGCCCCCACCCTTATCCCCCCCCCGGCGCCTTTCTCTTTCTCACTCGGCCACACTTCCATATCCCACAAAATAGGGAGAGGCTGGAAACAAAAACCAAAAAAATTAGAGGGATACAGATACACTCGCAACGCCCAGGCTTAGTTTTGTCGCCCCCCCCCCTTGCCTGCCCCTCCTCTCCGCGGCTACCTGTGCCATGGCCGCGGCTGAGCTCTAGCGCCTCCCCGACCCTTGTCCGGGGGCTTCGAGAAGTTGGTGGCGGGGCTGAGCCTGCTTCCTCCGCCTCGACGCTCCTCTCCCTCGTCTCCTCAGCTCCGGGGCCTGGCCCGGCCTCCTCAGGGCGACGCCTCGGGGGTGCTGAGGGTGGCGGCGGCGGCGGCGGCGACTGCTATCCCTTCTCGCCTACCAGAGCCGCGCCTTCTTCCCTTCCTTCCTTCCTTCCAACCATACGGCAGGGCCGGGAGAAAGGGACGGCCAGGCCTTGCAACCGCCGCCGCCGCCGCTCCTTGTGCGCCTCCGGAAGCGCATTCCTCCCCGCTGCCGTCAGGCTGGGCGGAGCATGAAAGGCGCGGAATTGGGGCCCTCAGGCTTGTCTGCGTCGGAGCAAAGCGGGGTTTTCCCTCCCTGGCCCTCGTCACGGAGCTCACCTTTGCCTTGAAACTCGGCTTTTAGGCTCGACAAAGGTTCACAAACACACACGCGTTGCCTTCATCCCCCTGCTGCAAGTGTAGATTGGCCAAAGGTTTGGTCCTCCGTAAGCACACTCCTGGGATTTATTTTTTTTACTCGGAAGTAAAGCTTGCGTTCAGAGGGTGTAGACGTGCAGCCTGAGGCACGCTCTTTCTCTTCACTCCTACAGGTTTCATTTCACATCAGGCTGCAAAACAGAGAGTACATTGAAATTTCTGGGTGATCTGAAGTAGATCAGGAAAGGTTCCTTCCTGACTCCCAGTTGTTTGCCCTAGGAAAGACTCCCGAGTAAGCAGGTAGTGTAACAAGGGGAGATGCTGCCCTTCTGCGGATTGGTAAAGAGTTCTAGCAATGGAGGAATTTAGAAAGTAGAGTCTCTATTTTAAGGTTGTTTCTTGTCATAGGGAAAAGGAACCGAACCATATCCCTAGATCCACTTTTTAAAGACAAAATTTGATTCTATTCACATTGAATAGGCACTTTGCACATACTCACAACTCTCTCTCTTTAAAAAAGCCACATGTAAGTCCATGATATTGAACAGGCCCTACTAGTGTTGAACTACAACTTTCATCATCCCTGGCCATTGACGTTCTATTTCAGAACCAAACTTCCCCTTGACCTCTCTCATCCCTGGTTAGCTTAGTCATTTGTCTCATCCTGCCAAGTGACAGTTGATACAGAATTTTAAACACCCTTATACTGAGTCAGATCACTGGTATATCTAGCCTAGTAGTGTGTAATCTGAACTTCCAGTGGCTCTCTAGGGTCTCACTACAATAACGCACTAATTTGGAAGACAAATTCCCACAAGAACAAAGTGCTCTTTTCGGTTTTTTACTGGTGGTGGTGGGGAACTTTACATAAATCTTTAATGAAAGAGGAGCACCCCTTAGAAGGCATATGTTCCACCAACACCACACTATTAACAGCAATGAGCATTTTTTGCTAATGTGATATCTCCAAAGAACCTAAAAAGACGTATCTGAAAGTCTGCTACTGCGCACATCTGGATGTCTACAGGGGGCAAGACACTCAATTATGGTTGCCATATTTTTAAAAAGTGAAAACCAGGACACCCTAAAGTTGTGTAATATCCGGGGTGTGCGTGTTGGTTTCTAGCACTTGTTGAACCTGAGAAATTAATCAAAATGTACAGGCACTTGCTTTGTTTACCATCTAGTTTTATGAAGAGTTCTGGAGAACTCAAATGTTTGCATGCAGTTTTCTGATATTTTGGTTGGCCTAATAAAGGTATTGCCCTAATCAGTGCTATTTTTTCTAGAAAAAGAGGTGCCAGAACTCTCCATGAACACCTCCCTCATACTCTTAGTTCCAGTACCTCTCAGGTAGGTACCATTGCCATTCTGAGTTCTGGCAAGTTCCAGCTGAAAAAAAGCCCTGGCCCTAATATTCCCCCCCCCCCTTATGACTTAAGACAGGCAATTCTACATATTGTGTAACAACTGATTAATCTTTAATACTTTAGTTAGTCTATAAGACTTTAGCAGCAACAGTAACAACAGCTACAATATTAAATTAGCACAAAATATTAAAAAGCACAATGCTTTTAGAAATATACCCTTGTCCAGCTTTCCTCTCTACTTTAAAATAATAATTTGCCTTTCCTTGTAACTGCAATAGCAAACATATTCCTCCCTTATATATCTTTTCCGGCATTGCCTGCACAGTTATTTGTATAAATTTAGATTATGGTTTCTTAGGACCATTCAGATTCCCCCTGATTTATAATCACACATTACAATGTTAGTAAGGGAAATGGTGTGGCTTTCAGAGAACACAAAGGGAAGTTCAAAAGGAGCTGTCGGACGTGTAGATGGGGCTCTATAGAAAGCAGAACTGCATAATTGCCAGCTCCCAATTCAAAACCACAAGTTCAGCAACCTGTGAAATTGATTTAAAAGCTGTCAGGAATAATGTATAAAATACTGTCAGTTTCTTAGCCTCTGGAATACACTGTAGTCACTGTAGATCAATTATGTTTTAACAATTAATAGCTAAATTCAGTAATATTGCACTTTAACATATATTCAACCTGAATGAAACTCCCCCTTAGTTTTAAAATAACCTGCCAGATGGGCAGAGTATAAATAATAAAATTGTTGTTGCTGCTGCTAATGTTTAAACCTAGATCTACCATTTGTTCATGACCCATTGAACATCCATCAGCCTATCCACACTTGCACTATTCCTTTTGTTACAAAAAGCCCTGTGAGAGCATGTGAAAAGCTCAGTGGAGCAGCAATGAAACTATTATCAAAACGCCCTACCATCAGCCTGCAAAATCATACACCAGAGATCACAGTGTTCCCCGCTATCAGTTTGCTAGCTGTAGCTGGGCCTAGGGACATCCTATTCCACAATAATAATTTTACTATTTATACCCTGCCCATCGGACTGGGTCACCCGAGCCACTCTCGGCGGCTTTCAAGATGCCATATAAAAACATAATAAAACATTAACTATTTAAAAGCTTCCCTATACAGGGCTGCCTTCAGATGTCTTCCAGAGGTTGTACAGTGGTACCTCGGGTTATATACGCTTCAGGTTACATACACTTCAGGTGACAGACTCCGCTAACCCAGAAATAATACCTCGGGTTAAGAACTTTGCTTCAGGATGAGAACAGAAATCATGCTCTGGAGGCGCGGTGGCAGCAGGAAGCCCCATTAGCTAAAGTGGTGCTTCAGGTTAAGAACAGTTTCAGGTTAAGTACAGACCTCAGGAACGAATTAAGTACGTAACCAGAGGTACCACTGTATAGTTATTTACTGTATTTAGGTGAATCCAATGCGCCATCAAATCTAATGTGCACCCTAATTTTCGCAACATGATTTGGCCAAAAAAGGTGTGCATTACATTTGAGTAAATACGGTATCTCCTTGGCTTGGGCGTCGCATATACTGTAGTAACTTTGTTATTAACTGCCATATGCAGCTATTTCTGTGATTTTTAAGATCTGTTGATGATGCCAAGAAATCCTCCCAAGCACTTAATATACTGCAGCAGTTTGTGGCCTGGTGTTTTCATTCCTTTCTTGAAAACACACCAGAAAGTTTGGCACTGATACATAGTGAAATGCCAAACATATTTGCCTAGGATGCTAGGCAAAAATAGACGATTTTGGCTGGCAAAACACAATGGAATTTTATGTCATGCTGCCATAAGAGTTTGGTCAAGAACTTGCCATCTATCAGGGTCCATATCTGTTCATCTTTTGAAACTGATGGGTAATCTGTCCTGCATTTTCTAAGAAGAAAGCTGTTCTAAATTACCATTTCCACTAGAATATTTCAAAAATTTGACAACTTGGAAGAATAATTATAAATCAGATTCACGTCAGACATTCAACAAGCTCCTTGGCAATAGTGTTATGAAAAGCAATATTTTGGTTAAAAGGAAAGGTTCATCAGAAAAAGTACATGAAGAATTTTCTAAAAAATGAGCACTTCCAATGACAGTCCAATGCTGAGTCCAAGCTGTAGTGGTATAATGTTCAGGGGTGTAATGAGGCCAGTGATTGGCTGTATTCCACCAGTACAGTATTTGAAAAGAGCTTTTTTGGAGATCAAATGTACCCTTAGGTGAGGGATGGGGAACCTCTTTGGCCCATACCTGTGAAGGAAGTGGAATCTGAGCGTAAGCTGTCTCTTAACTGAAGCCCAGTCACCAATAAGATATCCTCTTTTTAGAGTAAACAGTTCATTTTTAACTCTATACATCCAGTATCCATTGGAACACTAAGAAACCCATGCTTTGTCCTCTATTTCAGTTCCACAGACACCCATCTGACTGAAGCAGGGTGGAGTACATTGACTTAGTCATTGGTACCACCCATTAGCGTTCAGTTAAAACAGAGGGTGGATTACTGGGGGACTTTGGAAACTCACTATAGATCTCAGCCTAACTCATCTTGCAGAATGCCTCTAAGGAGAAAATGTAGAAAATGTATAGAGGTCCAGTTTAACCCATTATTAGCCTTAGGGTATTGCGGGGGGGGGGGGAATCCACACATGGTGTAGTGTAATGGTAAAAAAGGATGGATTCTGCCACTCACAGCACATTTAAGCTTTTCTCATGAAAAAACCCCCAAGACCTTCTAGACATAGGATCCCTTTAAAACAATTTCTTAGCCAAATTCACCCTGAATGTTCCTATAATTTTCACTGTGGGTTAGGATTTCCACTTCATCCTTCACACACATTCTTAATGAGAAAAAGTAGGGAGGGAGGGAGGATGAATTATTTTACCATGCCCAAATAACCAAAGCTTATTAAAGGCTCAATAATGCAAGGGGATTTATTTTGTGATTGTCCCATTATAGGTAAAAAGCATGTACTCAAGTCAAGCCGTGGAATTAGCTAAATCTGCCTGTTCTGACGGCAAGAAACAAGTATTACAGCTTGCAGCTATGGTAAAGACTTTGCCTTTTGATATATTTAGTTTGTGGTTACACAAACTCTTTTCCATTCCAGATCACACAATATATGTGCAGTTATTTTAAACAAAACCCTATTTTAAAAAATCTATTTCTTTTGTCTCGTTTATGATAATATCAGATGTTCCCAGGACAGTTGCTGATGCTGAATGGAAAGATGACTGTGTTAGATTTCCAGTGATTCATAAAGCCACCTCCTTCTCTGTTCTCCTTTTAGAAGCCTTGCAAATTTCCCTCGTGTCAGTTAAATTAGGGGTGGAGAACCTGAGGTCCTCCAGATATTGCTGAATTTCAAGTCCCATGGCCTCTAATAATGGGCCAAGCTGTTTGGAACTGATGGGGTTCAGAATCCAACAATATCTGGAAGACCACAGCTTCTGTACCTAAATCCTAAATTGTTGCTCATGAGGAACATGCATTCTGAGCATAATGACAGTTTTGTATAAATGAGCTTGTGGGTCATCATAGTGAACTTGCTATATTTATTACAAAGGAAATTGGGCACATGGTTAATGTTTTCACAAATACTCACACCACAGAGCAGTATAAACGTTGACAAAATTGAGCCTGGTTTTAATCATGCCCATAAAAGTTAATGCAAAGAAGTCCTTAAGACATACTTCCTCCTGATACAACCTCTTCTCCTTGTGGGATATATTCAGGGTGGTACAATACACAGAGTTGGGCTTTATTGGAAAAAACCTCCCCTTTCAGTCATTTACTGCAACAAGGGTTGTGCAATGGAAGTATTTTGTTATGATTAGGTCCTCCTCCCCTTTTTAAACAGTTGACATATATCTGTAACAGTGTTACTTTCAGTTTATATCTCCATTATTCCAGTTTAACAGCATCACACAAAAGGAAAGTAGCTACTTATCTACCATTTCTTGTTGATTATAAACTATATTGCATAAAATGCAGTAGTAAATACGGTAATCTGGGAGAATTGTTTATTACATTTTTTCAGTGCTTTTTACATAAATGTCTCAAAGTGACTTAAAGAGTATTTAAAAATACCGGACTACCTGCCAAACATTTAAAAACTGTGATACTCATATGTTGAGAGAATATCTGAAGACAGGTACTTGCCACTTCATATTCTTTATATGCCTTTGAAACAAGGTAAATATATTGGGTGGAGCATTTTATGGACATATTATCCTTAATTCTGCATTAAACCAGCACATGGTGCTTAGCATATGTTTTGTTAAGTACAAATTTAAAAATAGTTCATGACCATCTTAGAATCAGCATAAGCCCAAGGCGTTTTAGGACGTTTTTTTATGTTATCACTTTATCTCCCGAGTTGTGAGTAAGCCAAAAGCAGGGTTTTACTCACACAGCACTGTTTGCACTTAGTAACACAAATAGTTTGTCAAGCAGGATTAATCAGCAATGCTGCTATGAGATTGCTTGCTTCTTATCACCAAATCTGTAGTATAAACATGCTGGCTGTGTTGGCCAAAATATGTTGTGTGCTGTGGGGTAGACATCAAAGGAATATCTGGAAGCATCCCATTTTCGGTATGAATATGATATGAATTTTGAGCTTGCTGCTTGGAACACTGATTTGGAAATGACTGTTTCATTTTAAAGCATCCTTCCCCAACCTGGTGCCTCCGTCCGATATTTTGGAGTACATCTCCTCTCATCCCTGATCATTGGTCATGCTAGGGCTGATAGGAGTTGTAGTTCAACAATATCTGGCGGGAATCAGGTTGAGGAAAGATGCTTTTTTAAAAAAGTTGTTCAATAAGGTTTTCTAAGTGGATTGCCTTGATTGCAGGTTTGGTTTGTGCACAGATTTCCACATCACAATCAGAAACCCTATCTAACAGCTGCTCAAGCTTTGAAAACTAGACAGATGGTGTTACAAAATGTGTTGTGATGCTTCCCATTTCTCTAAGCGTTAGGAAACTCCAGCTGCTACAGAGTTGAGTTACCTTTTGAGAAGCTTGTGTATTTTTTTGTAAGCATAAAAATATACAAGTTGAGCAGGGGGCATCAGACAAGAACTTTGGCAATCATGCATGCTGGTCTTTAAAGCAGTATCAGCTCTCCCAAAAGCTGAAAGCATAGCCTTAGAAACTCACAGCTGTGGCCAGGAAGAGTCAATTTCCCATGAAAAGACATCTCGATGGCCTTCTAAAGCTTGATTCCATTTGGATTCTCAAAGATAAAAATATATAGATTTGGTTCCTCAACAGGGATTTTGAAGAATTCTGATGGAAACATGGGTGAAAATTGCTCATGTTTGCTTATTCATCCCACTTATGGAATGGAAATCAATCCTCTGATAACAATTCCATAGTTTCCTCTAATTCCGCCATCTGCAATCCCCTGCATCATATCCCATATCATGCCCAAAGGCCCCCCAACTGCTAGGAGCACATGTTGGTGTGGGGCAGTGAGGTCTGAAAGCCCCATTCTGAACTTTCCTCTATTCAAAAAAGGAAAGTTAGGATCTTAAAACACAACAATTAACAATCCATAAATTTATACATACAGTTTAATGTGGATTATAAAAGCAAGCTATATAGCAAATCTAACACATAACGTCCTTGTTATTGTGGCTTACATTATTCCGTCTTGTTTGGGGGGGCCTGGACTTCAATCCCAATAAGTCCTTCCCTGAATGCACCATGGTTTGTGGTGGTGGGAAGTGCAGAACATATGAATTGCAGAATAAGATTACAGATTTGATTACCTCTATTCATTTACAACTCTTTATGAAAACAATTTAGTAAATTGGTTTGTTGTTAGTGCATTCCATGCTGCGTATGTTTCTGTTTCAGGACTCAGTGTTGGGTTTGTCCTAATCTATAATAGCTCCCTAGCAGTAAACTTTGATGATTCACTCTGATTCATTTTGAAGGATAGATTTATACCTCCAGTCAGCAGCGTCCAGATAAAATCACTGGCTGTTTACACAAGAAAGACCATCCCAAGGCTTTAAAATGGCACATATATATTTTCTCCCTTGAACATTTCACTTCTTACTTTCAGTTGCAAGTTAGCAACACAATCCTTGTCTGCAGTTTTGAATGGAAGGAAATCAGTAAGTACTGCTATAAATTAAATTTCAAGTGCCAAGTTTATGTCCTCCTTTTGTGGAGGTAATTGATAAGAAGAGATCCTCTATGTTACTGTAAGTTCAGTATAGAAACTGATAGCAGTGATGATTGCAGCTTTATTGCTGCTACGAGTAGCTGAGACTTCAAAGTGAAAGCAAGATATGGAACTGTGCTATGAGAGAAGCCTCTTGTTAATGGGGGTTCAGTCTTATGGAGTGTATTCATGTTGCCTCCTTAGAACACAGTGAAGTTGCTTCCCCATCTCCATGTGTTTCACAGCTCTTCCCTTCCCCCCAGCTGTTCACATCAGCACAGCTTCATTAGTGTCAGATTCGTTTCTGTTTGTATACACACCAGGGGGCATTGATAGGGTGGGAAAATGCTTTTTGCCCTATGCAAAGGTATTCATAAGTACTTAATTCACTCCAGAGGTCCGTTCTTAACCTGAAACTGTTCTTAACCTGAAGCACCACTTTAGCTAATGGTGGTGCTGCCGTGGCGCTGGAGCATGATTTCTGTTCTCATCCTAAAGCAAAGTTCTTAACCCGAGGTACTATTTCTGGGTTAGCGGAGTCTGTAACCTGAAGCGTATGTAACCTGAGGTACCACTGTATTTTGTTAGGATACACATGCATTTTGGATAACATCATTTGATGTATGAAAACGCAGCAAGTGCACAGCAAACAGCTGTGTTGTCCATAGGGCAAGTGAGCAGAAAACCTGTAACTAGCACAATCCTGACCATGTCTGCTCAGAAGTAAGCCCTTTCTAGACCACTTTTACATTAGAAGCCAGAAGGCATTCTCCACTACTTCCACCATTGCTTGTTTTGCTTACTAGTTCTGAAAACCCCTTCATTTAGCCAATATGTGCCTGACAGCACATATTGTGCAGTTCACTGGGGACTTATTCTCAGGTCAATGTATGTAGGCTTAGCTCTAATGTTTATCTTTCTACCCAATAAAAATGAATAAGTTTTTTGGGGGCTCTTGAGATCAGTTTCCTCAAATGTTGGAGAAAGGTTAGCGATGACTTACGAGTTTCAGTCCTTCCAGATGTTTTACTTCCTTAATGTTGGTTAGACATACAAATATAAGGTTCCTGGTTTTCTGCTTTACTGTAATGGAAGAGGACGTCCAGGAACTAAAAGGAACAAGGATCAGAAAATGCACCACCATTCTAAATCTATTTTAGAGGAAACTATTAAATGGATACTGTACTAACTTCAGCTATCATGTCCCTGTTACCAATTTTTAAACCATTGAATCCATTGTTTCTGGTTTTCTTTTAAAAATAACGGTGTTTCTGCAATATAGAAGTGTGCAGATAGGGAACAAAAAGAATAGCCCAAGGGCATTCTCTATCCAATGGGTGTGTCATCGTGACCTTGCAAGCCAGGGCAGCACTACTGAATGTGTTGCCAAAGAATAAAGTAAGCTGTAGCAGGGTCTTTGTTTAAAATCTTAATAAAAAATGAATCATCGAAAAGAGCATGTCCCTGCATGGCTTCTCTTTTAAACCTCTTTGAGATTTTTTTCTACAGTCAAGTGACATGCACATTTTATTAAACAAACAAACAAACAAACAAACAAACAAACAGGAGTTCAAATATCCTGATCCATGTTTGCCTTCTGCAAGCATATCCTACTTCTCAGTGGTTTGATAGTGAATTTCAAAGTGCAGGAGACTCATCATGGCTGCCCCCTAAGCCACATACCAAAAATGCAGGCGGCTGTACAGATCCATTATTATTCACAACCACAGACACAGCCATGGGCGTAGCCAGGATTTTTGTTAGTGGGGACAGGCCTTTTGTTAGGGAGGGGGCAGAACCTCAGTTTGCTATGTATTTATTTTTATTTTTTTGATGGGGGCCCATGGACACAGCCAGAATGACTTAGCTCCCTCACCCCCATGAGCTGCATAGCTTAGAGAAGAATTTGACTTGAACTTGTATAAACTGCAAAGAAAACAAACCAAATCACTTTGGACTCTAGCTCGCAAAACAGTGACACTGACTGCCAGGCAAGGAAGGTTAATTCTAAATCCACATTTCACTTCCCAGAGTAAAAGCAAGGCCTGTGAGTTACTGTGCTGCTCCTTCCATTAGCAAAACAAGAGGAGGGATGAATGAGCTAGATATCTCAGATGCTAGGTTTGGAAACATGTAGATGGACAAAAGGAATGTCAAAAGGAGGAAATTGGAGTCTCCAGTGTGAAAGGGTAGTGCAGATAAGGCTCGCTGAGCAATTAATTCATTGGTTTCCCACTCAGCTTTTATCTTGCCCTTCATCTGACAATTTCTGGGTGGAGTTCATGGTTCTCCTCCCAATTCTTTGCTTATGGCAACCCTGCAAGGTAGCCTAGGCTGAAAGATAGTGACTAGCTGAAGGTTACACACCAAGCTTTGTGTGTAATTTGGTAGTGATTTGGACCTGGGGATCCCTGGTCCTACTCCAAGTAGGGCCTTTTAGCATACAAAATGGTAATAAAAACTTTCAAGTCACACTGAAATCTTCAGTGTTTTTTTTTCTTTTCTCCTTTTCTTTATGTAATTCCTCTTTCTGAAATTTCTATAAATATCATTAAAAAAAAAAAGGATGATCTAAGTAATTTTTTAAAAAAATCATGTGTGGGTGATAATGTACAGTACCAGTAAAATTGAGGGCTCTTTAAATTGAAGTTTAGGCAGGGAACATATCAGAAATGTATCTGTTATACAGTTTATTTATCTTGGGTGGGGAAGAAGGACACACCCACAAGGATTTCCCGCAGAATTGGCGGTGGTTGTGGAGAGAATTCAGCAAGAAGATACAGTACAATGAAATTAGAGTGCACTGAGTATTTACTCTCCAGTGCTAGTCTATGGGGAGTAGAATCTCTCTGCATGAAGCAGCACTCCGGATTATGTCTGTATATGGAATTTGACACGGGTGGAAAGAGAATCAAACTCCTGACGCAAAGCCTTTGGTGTGCTAGAAACTCAGGGCCAAACTATGTGTTTTGCCAGAAGAGATCTGTGACTGATCTCTTGATGTTTTGTTCTGGTTTTTTGTTTTAGCTAAATATATCCATGGGGGAGGCCCCTCTGCTCATTGGACTGGGGAAGGAGCAATGAGGATGGAGCTTTTTAACGTTCCCTGAAGCTTTTTGCTGCTCAGAATTGATGCTTGCTAGTTTATATTTCTTCCTGTATTTTTTTTCTCTCCTAGGAAGCACGAGGAAAAGAGAGCAGGGAGGATTAAACAAACCCAGCCCTTATGCACCACTTCCTTGACCAAATTAGGACCTCTCTCACAGCAGTGTTTAGCTGAAAAAGAAAGTTGGGAGATCATTCAAGGGTCTCCCAATATTACACATACCTTGGCACTAATTTTCCTGTTATTTCAGAAGCACAGCCATGCCAGTTTGTTGCAGCTTGGGCACTGCAGGTACAACAGCTGATTGTGGCATGAGCTCCTTTATGCTATAGCCTACTTCCTCAGCTGCATCTGATGAATCAGGCTGTTGCCTAGAGAAAATGTGGGCTATCATAAATTTCTTAGCCTTTAAGGCACCATATTTGCCCCTCTTGAGCTATGCTCAATCCATGGATAACAAATGTGGGTGGGGATGGTTTATCCCCACATGTATTCACTAGAAGTTTCATAGCATCCAGCTGTACACATCTACAGCTCTCTGCACATGATCAGGAACCCTGCCTCTCTATATTCTAATGAGCATCTGTATTATAATGAGGGAAGGGGAGGTCAGAGCTTCAATGTATCCCCTGCAATAGTTTATTATTCACAGATTCTTAGTGCCTGAAAACACTATTGTTACCATTCTGGCAAGGAAACCTGGATGTGCATTTGATGTGATTTGCTCCTTTATCCCTGTGGCAATTATGTAAGCAGAAAAGGGAAAGTTACACTCTGTCTAACGTCTCTAAGTTCCACCATTAGGGTGAAGAAGGGCCTGCTAATTTAAAGAGAATAACTTCCAGGGTTTTTTTTATTATTACAGTATAAAAAAAAAATCTTCTTTACCCTCAACATTCTTTCATTCTGATAAATGCTGAATCACTTTCTTGCCTCTGTCCATTTCCTGTTGCTTCCTGTCACTGCATGTAGGTAGGGCTGTGAGATCTTTTTGGAGCAAAGACTCATCTCTTTGCTTGGCAGCTGCGAAGCAAGGGGATTGAAATAGGTGAGCGGCATTCACAACATTCACACCTCCACCCTACTTTTCAAGTGTTTGTTTATCATCTCTTAAGAGCCTTTCTCTTAAGAATATTACAGAGCTGGAAAAGGGGCAGAAAATGGCAACCAAAGTGACCTAGGGTTTTAGGGAACAGAGTGACTCCCCTGGGAGGAATGGGAGAGGAAAAGGTGGAGAGGAAAAGGGGAAATAGAAGCTGGGGAAATGATGCATGTTTCTCCCTCTCTCAAATGACTAGAATTCATGGATGCTGAAAGTTGGAAAATTCAGGACAGATAAAAGAAAGCACTTATTTGTGCAATGCATGGTTAAAACTACGGAAATCAGTTCCACAGGAGGCAGTGGATAGGTTTAAAAGAGGGTCGGACAAATTCATGGAGGATAGGGCTATCAATGGCTATTAGCTATGATGGCTTGTTCTGACTCCACCATTGGAGCAAGTAATGCTTCTGAATACCAGTACAATAGCTGGAATCCAAAGACAAGGGGGAGAGCGCTCTTGCAGTTTGATCCTGCTTCCATGTTTCCTGCTGGCATCTGGTTGGCCACTCTAAGAACAGGATGCTGAGTTTGATGGAAAATTGGCCCGATTCAGGCTCTTCTTATGTTCTCCCTCCAAAGCCTCAGCCGCCAATTCTATTGGGAATAATCTCTGCCTATTTATTACTACATGTATAGCCAACCTTTCCTGCAAGGAACTCAACATGACATGCACAGCACCCAGCCATGGATCTTTTGTTTAATCTGTATTTCAGCCCTAAGAGGGAAGCTTTTAATCATACTGTTGGAACTGGCATTTTTGACATAGGTTTCAGATTATACAGGTTTTAATCTTTTTCTTTAAAAACAAAAGAGAACATGTTACTACTGTCCAGTATCATGGCTATGTCACAAAACTGCCTTTAAAAAGTTGTAAAACAGGCATTCACATTTAGTTGCCTTCAGATGGCTGCACATTAACTGCTTGCTTTACAATGGTGTGCTTTCTGATGCAGTCTGCTAACATCCCAAAATATACTTTCGTAATGGCAGTGGGTCAGCAACGGAAGGACATCTCAGCTTGCAGACATAAACCGTTTTGCATGGCAGATTAGTCAGGCCAGCAAGTCTGTTCTCGTAAAAAGTGAAATTGCCTTGACATGTTGTGCTGATAAGAACAGCTAAAGGTATTACATTGAAATATTTTCTCCCTGAAAGTAAGCAACGCACATATTTTGAAGGAAAGAAAAAATATGAAGCAAAGGGGACTTTCGTTGTGACAGCTGGCTTGACAGCTGTGGTGTATAACTGTCCACAGCTATACCTTCAGTCAGCCAGCATGCTCTGACGCCACACTGTGGTTTTACAAAGACCAAATGGACAGCCACTGCCCTAATCTATACTTGCCTAAGCTTTAGTTGGATTTTGAACACAGCACGGTGATACAATGGCAGTAAATACAACATACCAACCACCTGAACCATTTTGCTTCAACTGGTGGGTCATGTGACCCACAACAGGGTTTTACCTAAGGTGGGCTGCTCCAGTAGTACCATAATTCATTTTCTTTTTATTTAAGTTTTGTAATAAGCCTCATGTATGTGCTAAAATTAAGACACAAAAAGGTCAAGGGAAATTGCTATCAGCCTGGGGCCCACAACGTGGTGCCTGCAAGCACCACAACACACTCAGATATGCTCCTTGGAAGCCACTAAGGTCCAATTTTTTATTTTTAAAACTGAGGATTTTTTACATTCTTGTTGTTTGATTGGGGTTGTATTTTTTGGATGGGTGTGTTGGTGTTTTGTCTGTTAGGAAGCAGCTCTGAGCGTCACCAGTTTTTCTTTTGTGAAATAGGCATCTTGTGGTGCCCTCAATAGCTCTTTAAATTTCCCACTGGGCCCCTGGGCCCAAAAAGATTGGGTACCTCTGCTATAAACCATTACACTGAGGCATTTGCAGCACTCATTCACAAATCAACGGGCAAAAAATTATCAGCAGTGGTGGAGTTTGTCCAGTCATGTAAACGTTTACATTTTCCATTGGACCTGTTTAGGAACATAAGACCATTAAATTGCTGGTCCAGGTGCACTGGTTCACTGGACCAGTAATATATCTGCAACAGTGCCCAAACTGATGCCTCTGTCAGAGTCAAAGGTTTACTACTCTTGAACATGAAGTTTTTTCCAACTTGAGCTGCATTGCCCAGGATACTGTTTTAGCAGAAGTAGTGCCGTCAGAGTTTGACCAAACTGCGGGAGGCAGTGAAAGACAGGAATGCCTGGCATGCTTTGGTCCATGGGGTCACGAAGAGTCAGACACGACTAAACGACTAAACAACAACAACAACAGTGCCGTCAGACTGTTGTCCATAATATCGGGCTGTAACTCCTTCAATTCTGTTGCTCTGAATAATCCTGGCATTGATATTACAGGTTACATAGGGGAAAGACTCTTTCCAGTTCTCTAGAAAAGCCAGGTAGTGAGATTTAGGCTTAATGGGACAACCTCAAATCACTAACTCAAGAGCAGTTCTACAGAAGGCAGCAGAACAGTTTCAGAGTATGCAGCTTGAGATTGCAGCCTTAAATGGTAAGCATTTATACAGCACATAATTTTTCCATCCCTGGGCAGAATGCAACAGACGTCTTGAGTGCTTTGCAATAATACAGCATAATTCATTTCTCTCTATGGTACTTTGAATCCTGAGCATTAGGTCATCTTTTCCATACGTTTGCCAGAGCAGGATTATTGCACAGAGAAGACTCTCTCCAGGGCTTTGTTCTAAATGACCCAACAGATGAGACACATCATTTCTCTTGAATGTGTTCCACAGTCTGATAATTTTAAGGTCTCCTCTGCCTTTGGTAGTTGGCCCAAATTTCCCTGTTAAGTCCCAATGATTTAAAATCCTGCATTTTTGTCCTTGTGGCAAATACATTCTAGAGCTGATTGATCCTATCGCTTTGTACAGTTAATGGAATAGCTTCGCTCCAGAGGAAATAGATCAACTTCTGTTTCACCACTGTTATATAAAAACATGGAGGGATTGTGAGCCTGGGCAAGCACTGGAGAGGGGAAAACATGTAGCCAGTTTTAACAATTACATTTTAAAAAAACAAAAACATAAAGCATTCCTGTGTTGGGAGTGGGCAACCTTGCTAGTTTTCGACCTTTTAAAAAAAGCTGTAGGAGTGCTCTCATTCATGAGTGATACAATGTGGAAAACTTGCTTTAAAAAATTTCACATAATAACACACATGCGTGGAAGGAATTAGCATCACATGATGCATGTTTTAGCACATGGATGAGAGCGGAAGTCATAAAGCCACATTCAATGCAGCATTCACAGTAGCCGTGGAGAGAAGGGAAATAGCATTTCCCGATTCACAACTACAAAACAATGTAGTTCGAGTACTGTGAAAACAGCAGCACAACCAGTCCTTTAGGAAAGTTCTTTGGGGTCTTGGAAACAGACGAGCAACAGCTGTACATTTCATAGAATCAAAGAATTAAAGAGTTGGAGGGAACTCCGAGCATCATCTAGCCCAACCCCTGCAATGTAGGAATCACATGGGTGGCGAAGAACACTGTGGAAATCGTTCTAAACTGCTGGATCCCTAGTCTGGGGATTCCTATCCCCTTATGATTGCATATGCCATTTATAGTCTCCAATACTTGGTACATTCTCCCCTTCATTAGCATATTTCTTGGATTTGTACAGGTCAGTTCTAAATGTGCAAACATGAAAGGAAGTCCCATTGAGTTCAATGTACTTATTTTCAGCCAATGTACTTAGGACTGCTTTCTTTTTGCTTGTCTCTGACTCCTTCTGATTAAATTCCAGAACCATATGCACATAAACTAAAACATAACAAAAATAGTCATAAATAATAAAGAAAACATTAAAAAATACACAACCAAACTGAACAATTTCCACATAAATCACAACGAGATCTAAAATAAAGAGACAAAAAACTGAACAGCAATCCCTCCCCCACAACAAAACCCCCTAAACAGTACCCTAGCCCCAGAATCTGTTCAGCAGCTTCAGCTTCCGTAGCTGGAGTCAGTCAGTGCCCCAACCTCCCAGGCCAGGTGGGAAAAGGCCTGCAAGGCACAGAGCAGGTCTTCCAGGACTTGCAGCCAAGATGGCAAAGGGGCATAGAAAAGAACTGATCAATTTTCCAAGAATGAATATAAGGGCTGTTTCCCCCACTCCCCTTTTAAATTTTTTACCTGATTGGTGAAAGGTAGACAATCAGTGCTAATTTGTACGTGATACTCCACAGCAAAAACTGCTGACATTATCATAATCTGCATAAATTTGTTATCTGCATGTTTTAGTACAGTGCCATTGCTAAATGTAAAATTAATATGATATGCATGGAAATAAAAGCGTATGAAGGGAAACATTGTTAATTGTCTTTATGAAATGCTAAGAAATTGGGGGGAGAAATTTCACAGCAATAAAACCGATAAAGGAAAGAAACAATACAATTTTTAAAAGGCATTATTGGCTGCAATCAAGCTAAGGAGCACCACAGGTACAGGGGGCTTCACAGCTCTCATTGATGTGTAAAGAAAACTTTGCACTTGCAATGTGTGTGTGGGGTGTTATTTATTTATTTATTGCATGTATATCCCCGCTTTTTCTCCAAGGAGTGCAAAATGGTGCACATGGTTCTCTCCCACCTCATTTAATCCCTGCGACAACCATGTGAGGTAGGTTAGGCTGAGAGATAGTGACTGGACCAACGTCACCCAGTGATATTCATGGCTGAGTGCGAATTTGAACCCTAGTCTCCCAGCACCCTGTCCAACACTTAACACTACACTGGTACGCGATGTCTTTGCTACATACTCTCAGCTGCTTTACTACTAAATGCTGCCTTAGAATTCCTTTCACGGATTCCTTTCTGGCTTTTAAATAGCTACTGATGTTTTTTTTAAAATAAAAAATGTACATTTATGAGGAACAACAGCACATGGAATCCGATATAAGCATAGGACTGGCCAAATGAAACAAATGGAAAAGATGCAGAGTTAGGAAGTACAAGGCCCAGTACGAATCCCTGCCTAGCCTCTGGGTGACTCTGGGCCGTCAGTCTACTTCTTTCTCCCTCAGGATCAACTTGTTTTCTTCAAGTGACATTGTTTTTAACCAAAAGCAGCTGTGCAGAACTGCAATCTAGATCGGAAGTTGAGGAGTGTGGGGAGAGGAGCTTATCTCTTCCTTTACAGGTCATTTTTCTCTCAGAATAGCCCTCTCTAAGTTTAGCCCTGCCACACTGGGCATTTCTTATCCAGACTTTGGTTAAAGCAAACTTTGTTTTTTTAGAAATCCCTCATAAGAAATTAGGCTATGTATACACATTTTATTTTAAAATCATTGGGGACAGAATACTTGGTGTGTCCCACCCCCTATATAGTCCACGTACAATCTAGTTCTATTGAATATCCCCACCCCCTGTGGAAAAGGACTTCTTGGGAACATAACAACTCATTGCCGATTGATTCTGCATTACCCCACGGTATGTCCATTTGAAAACAGCAGCCTGGGCAATGGGTGTGTTTGTATCCACACCTGCCCAGGGACATGGTAAGAGGGCGTAGCATCCTTGCAAATACCCTTAAAGTATTCCTGGTTTTGCACCTGTTGGTTATTGAACAAAGTGAGATTCAGAAATGAGATAAGAACTAGAGGCTCCTATGGAGAAACCGCCACTGTTACAGGGGATAAGCAAGGAACAAAGGACGCTTTGTGTTTGTCCTGCCTTTATTTTTTTAGTGTGAGGTGTCTGATAGGGAGTTTGTGCAGTTGGAGTTTGTGCTTTGAAACTCTCCTGCAGATGAGGCCTTTTTATTTTGGTCTTGCTCAGTGGCGGCAGCAGCACCCGCCCCGTTTATGATTAAGATCCAGCCTCCTGGCGACGGCTGACAAATCTGGAAGCTTGCTCACTTCTTTGTGACCTTTCAGTTGATTCCGACAGCAGCACACTACTGTTACTAAGGATTCCCCATTCCCTCAATGGACCAACACAGCTACTTCCAATTTTTCTCCACTTAAAGTGCAACGCAAAATCAACCATGATTTAGTCTAAGTGAGAGAGAGAAATCAATCAGGCAGGCAGGAGGGGCTGGGGAGCAGCTTAAATGTGGAAGCCCATTTAAAGAAAAAAAATCCCTAGAATTCCTCTAGATTTGGCCTGATTCCTACTGACTGAGGAGCTGGCTGCCGTCTCCTTTTCTCTTTGATTTAATGACAGAAGTATCCAGGAGGCTTCCAAAGACAAAGGCCCCATATGTTTGACATTCTTTTTCTTCTGGGAAACTGGAAATGACCTCGGACCTCAATGCTTATAGTCAGCCAATTTGTGTGTTTACTGAATTGTTGTTACTATCCCCCCCACCCCAAGGGAATCTAAAGGGAATATACTTTTGCCTGAGACGGAATTTTGAAACTCCAAAAATAACTTTTTGGCTCCTTTGTAATACTTTCTGTGAGTGCTGTTGAGCTTCCCCTTTTTATTCTCTGACCTTTTCGCTCTTGCAGTCTCTCTCTTGACCTCTTGACTTTTCTGCTGATTCTGGTGAGGCCATTGGCTCATTTGCTCCGATGTCATGGCGACCCTGTGTGAAAATGAGAGGCGACAGGGTCTCTTGTGGATCTTTTGCTTAGCTGAATGCTAATGGGAAGCGCAGAATCTGAATTCTAAGACTGGTCACATGAAACCTCTGGTACATTCAAGCACATGCATATTGCCTACAAGACTTGGGTTACATATGCTTCAGGTTACAGACGCTTCAGGTTACAGACTCCGCTAACCCCGAAATAGTACCTCGGGTTAAGAACTTTGCTTCAGGATGAGAACAGAAATCCTGCTCCGGCGGCGCAGCAGCAGCAGGAGGCCCCATTAGCTAAAGTGGTACCTCAGGTTAAGAACAGTTTCAGGTTAAGAACGGACCTCCAGAACGAATTAAGTACTTAACCCGAGGTACCACTGTCTTTGAATGACTGAATTCCTCATGCAAATGGAATGATTCTAGAGCCTTATAATGCACTTACAAGCCATAGGCAATTGATACTTGCTGTTTATAAGGTCACATCTTGGAATGCATCAGAACCGTGTGCAGTAAAATATGCACAGTATTATGAGAAATTGTGATTCTCTTAATGTGGATGTACCAAAACAACCAGCTGTGTGAGGGAGCATATGTGTCCACATTAATGTGTTAGACTGCAGCCTGTATACCTCTTAATATGGATGTTACAGAACAATGCAGCTCTGAGGTGCTGTCGGCTTTTTGACATAGACAACAGGATGGGTTTAGATAAGAAGAATTGCTTACTTGGAATTTTGTACCTTTATTACTTCTAAATTAGTATGTTTAGGATTACAAACAAAGGCTGTTATCCCATGCCACGTAAAAAGCACTCTGTGTCTGATACTGGACTAAACTACCTACATTGGCTAATGTGATTTTTAAAAGTAGACTTCTGCTGCTGCCTGGTGTATGAACATCACCCACACATATGCACAAAATAGTACATGAAGAGACAATTATAGTGTCATGAAAGAACAGCCAACTTTTGTAGGTCTCCAACAGACGATTCTATATTCTGTTCAATTTATTACAGTGCCATACGTACAGTAATTCTTTGCAGTCCTTTATATGAGACACTACATTTATTGACGTTAAATCTGATTAATGTTGCAAGGTTTAAATTCTGTAGCCTTTATCACAAATGCACTTCCTGAATCAAATTATTCTTCATTGAAGCTTTTGTACTGCTTTCTTCCACTATATTTGTAATATGAGTTTTTTTCATTCATCTGACATGATTTGATTGCTAAGAAACCATTCTTTTTCTGTGAACCTCATGCTAGCAAAATCTCTTATGCACTCATTTGGTCCACTATAAATCATAATATTCACAAGTTATTTCTTAAACATTTGTCCTTTACTTATTTGCCTTCACCCACAGCATGCCGTTGGCTTGGCTCACTTTCTTAAGCTATCTTTCTATAGCCATTTGTTGTCCAGGTACATTTTTGGGATGCAGCTGCTCTGAGTTTGCAGCATTTTTTCTGCTGGTGAGACCTTGTCTTAGATAAGGAGTTCAAGTCATGTACAAATGATGTGTTTATGGAGCAAGATTTTGAATTTTAACTCAGTAAAGATGTCCTCTTGCCTCATATATATAATTTACTTAAATATAAACCAGGCCGTTCTGTCTGAGGAAGGAGTTCACTCCTGCTTCTTGGTTTCGGCTAAGGCCTTCAGCAATTCTTGAGTGCAGATTCACAAGGAATACAAGCAACTCTTCTGTCACTGTGATTTAAATGAGGTTAGCCTATAGCTCATTATCTGTTTAACGGTTCTGTTTAACTGTTTAACAACACAAGGTGTTGGAGGCAGAAAAATCTCAATCTCTTGGGGGTGGGGGAATGGTACCTGTTAGGGTTCCAAGGGGTTGCTCGAGAGCAAGCAGGCAAATGCCTCCCTGCTCAGCTGTGAAGCCTTGCTTTGGATACCAAAATAAACTTTATCTGTCCAGAGTGTCAGCTTCGCCTTTGAGCCAGTGCCAATGACTGGGCTCAACCTCTTCAGCCCCGACTGGGCCAGGCAAGTTGGGAAAGCACTTCCAGAGACTGCAGGGAGCAGGTCTAAGTGCTGTGGACTCACAACTCAGAGCTGTGAGCACCAAACTCAGTTCCAAAAGTCAGCGGAGCACAGCAGAGTATGAACCACATGAATGACAGCTCTGAAGTATAACTTCTTTTATTCTCTACAGCTACTGCAAAACTAAAGACCAATCGGAGACGCTGGACTGCATGAGTGTTACAGCTGCTTGAGCAGTCACCTTATCTATATACAGATAACACTCAGACTCCCTTGGAAGTCAGGCTGGAGCGGAAGAAGCAATGAGCAAAATCCGCCCCCTCCTTTCTGAAACATTGTCAGCAGATTCTTGCAATGGGAGGGGTGAAACATCCTCACAGAGCGCCACTCTCCCGTGGCTGGCTCATTCACTGGCAGAATCCGTGAGTGGCTGGTCCTTAAACCTTCCCCAGCAGAGTAGTTTCTTGACGCCCAGTCTGCGCCTCCCCTCTCGGTGCGGAAGCTTACTGCGCAAGGAGGGCGTGGGTAACAGAGGACCTCTCTCCTCCCCGCTTTGCCCAAGCAAGGTGTCCTGGCACCGCCTCGCCTCCTCCGAGCCCTGAAGCTCCTCTCCACTGGAGGCGTGGTTACTCTCCTCCGCTGAGGAGGAGCTGCTTCCCACGATCTTTGGGGGCTCTCTGTAATCCATCCGGCTTTTCCCCTCTCCCCCCAGAGCCGATGGCAGTTCCCTGACATCCACCCCCTCCTCAAGACCCCCCTCCCCACTGGTGAGGTCTTTGAACGTCTCCTCCTCTATATTGTGGGCCGGCGATGTAGGAAAACCCCGGAAAGAACCGTCATCATCTTCCGTGGATTCAAAAGCTGCTTCCCATCCTCTCAGGTCCCTTCCCGCTGGTTGAACCTCCCAGTCTGATTCTTCTCCCTCGGACACCTCCCCGCCCTTCTCTTCTGAGGCAGGGAAACCTGCGAAGTCCCCTTCATCGTCCGTGGGTCCGAACTCCTCCTCCCGGAACCTAGCTATTGGTTTAGGCTTATGCGGGAACAAACCATGGAATTCTTCCACCAGATAACCCTCTGTGATGGATTCTGTGGGAACCCACGTGTTTTCGGATCTGGGTTCTCCCTCCCAGGCCACCAAGTACTCTACCTGGTGCCCTCTCCACCTAGAATTGAGTATTTCCGTTGCTTCATTAGTGTTCCCTTTCCTCTGCCCGTGGATGGGTAGTCACCCCTCCCTCCCTCCCCGGGAAGCCCCACCCCTCCCTGTGATGCAAAAACAGGGACCTATGGAACACCGGATGTATCCTCATGCTGTCCGGCAATTTCAGCCTGAAGGCCACTGGATTAACCTGCTGTATTACCTCAAAGGGCCCCAGCCGTCTAGGCTGCAACTTTCTGCAACCTCCCTTTAGGGGCAAACCCTGGGACGACAACCATACCCTGTCTCCCACCTGTATGACCTCCCCCGGCCTGCGGTGCCTGTCTGCTTGCCATTTGTAGACTTCTTTAGCCCTTTCCAAGTTTAGCCGGAGTTGTTGGTGCAAGGCCTCCATTTCTTCTGCAAATTGCTCCACTGCTGGCACACTCCATTCCTCCTCTCCACGCCCTGGGAAGGCCCTGGGGTGACACCTGTAATTGGCCATGAAGGAGCTTGTTCCCGTGGACACATGTTCAGCGTTGTTGTACACAAATTCAGCTAGCGCCAATTTCTCTACCCAATCGTTCTGCCTCTCACTGACATAACAGCGTAGGTACTGCTGTAGTATTCCATTCGCCCTTTCGGCCTGGCCATTGTTTTCTGGGTGCCTTGCCATCGAGAAGCTCACCTCTACCTGCAGCAAGCTCATGAGTTTCCGCCAGAACCGCGAAGTAAATTGTCTTCCTCGATTGGATACAACCCTCAATGGAGTCCCATGCAGCCTAAAAATGTGGTCCACAAACAGCCTGGCTGTCTCCTCTACTGACACCGCATGAGAGCAGGCCACGAAATGGCACATTTTGGTCAGTAGATCGACCACCACCATCACCGCTGTTTTCCCCCTTGACTTGGGCAGATCTGTCATAAAATCAATGGACACCACCTCCCAGGGCCTCTCTGGTGTTGGTAAGGGTTCCAGTAACCCCGCTGGTGCGGTTCTTTCCCCTTTGGCCCTCTGGCACCTGTCGCACCCCCAGACATATTCTCATACATCCTCCCTTACATTGGGCCATCAGAACTGTCTGGTGACTAGTAGCATGGTCTTATGCTGCCCAAAATGCCCGGCTGTTGGGTTGTCATGGAGCTGCTTAAGTATCTTGGCCCTCAATGTCTCTCCCGGCGCATACAGTGCCCCTTTGTAGTACAGGAGCCCTCCTTTTTCCTCAACCCCCCCATTTCCCCCCTTTCCATCTCTGAGCTCCCTGATTTTAGTCTGAGCAAACTCATCGTGTCTGGTCAGCCCAACCAGTTCTTGCTCCCCTACCAGTGCTCCCCCACACAACCAGCGGTCTTCTGGGAACACGTGCCTGGCCAGAGGAGGTCCTTCCCCTTCCATGTACTCAGGTTTCCTGGAAAGTGCGTCTGCCCTCACATTCCCCCCCCCCCCCAGGTACGTATTGTATTTCAAAGTGATACTGTGAGAACATCTGCGACCATCTGACCTGTCACTGGTTAAACACGCGTGCTGTCCACCAGTATTCCAGGTTCTTGTGGCCCGTTCGGGCCTGGATCTGGTGCCGTGCCCCAATCAAAAAGTGTCTCCACTGCCGAAAGGCCACGTAAATGTCCAGCAATTCTTTGTCATAAACAGTGTAATTTTGCTCTGACTTGCTCAGTTTCCTGGAGAAAAATGCACAAGGTCTCCAGTCCTCCCCTGACCCTTGTTGCAGCAGTACTGCTCTGATGGCCCGGTCTGAAGGTCCGTCTCCACTCTCAGTGGCTTCCCCGGATCCACGTGCAGAAGCTGCTCCTCAGAGGCGAACGCCTTCTTTAACCTTTCAAAGGCCTTCTCTCCCTCTCCCTCTTGGCTTGCTGCCCCCATCATGCCTTGCCAGGCTTTTCTCTGGGGACAGACCTTCGCGAAATGTCCAGGGCACTGACAGACGAAACACTTCTTGGCTGTTTTCCAGTCCCTTCCCTCCTTCTTCCTGAGCTCACTGGTGTTTGAAACCGCGCGTGCGCGGGCTCCATCAATTTCAATCAATTTAGCATATTTAAAATGAGATGCTAATACATTCTAGTAATAGGTATTCAGCAACTGAACTACAATGCTGTGAAATAACTGGATGCACTCAAGTGCAGTTTTTGCACAGATTTAAGATATACTAAAAAGGTAAAGGTAAAGGGACCCCTGACCAGTAGGTCCAGTCATGACTGACTCTGGGGTTGCGGCACTCAACTTGCTTTATTGGCCGAGGGAGCCGGTGTACAGCTTCCGGGTCATGTGGCCAGCATGACTAAGCCGCTTCTGGCGAACCAGAGCAGCGCACGGAAACACCGTTTACCTTCGCGCCGGAGCAGTACCTATTTATCTACTTGCACTTTGACGTGCTTTCGAACTGCTAGGTTGGCAGAAGCAGGGACCGAACAACGGGAGCTCACCCAGTCACGGGGATTCGAACCACAAACCTTCTGATCAGAAAGTCCTATGCTCTGTGGTTTAACCCACAGCGCTACCCACATCCCCTTAAGATATACTAGTTGGCTTTAAATGGTATCTGCAAGTGCAGGTACTATTTATTTTTTAAACTGAAAAGTTACACACTTCAGTATACCCAAGAAAAAAAACCCAAGACACTTTACAACAAGAAAACCAATATAATAAAACACTAATTACCAATATTTTTTTCAGAATTTTGTTGGAGGGGGGAGGGAGAGAGAGAGAAAGCAAAGCAAAAGCATGGGCCACAAGCAACAGCTCCTTGTACAAAGGGGAACACAAAAATTCCCCTGGAGCAATTTGCAAATATCCCAGCAGGAAGTTATTTTATTATTTAAAAATCCAAAAGCCTTACTTGCTCTCTGCAAAAAATCCAAGGCAGGTTGGGCACAATTCACATGTTGGCCCCGTAAATTTGGGATCTGTGCAGTTACAGACTCCACACTTGCAGATTCCTCTGCCATTACAGATTTGCCCATTTCCAGCTTCACATGGGGCGGTATCCATGTAACAATCACAAGCAGAGCCTGTATAATTTTCTGCGCATTCACACTCACGACATTTACATTCACCATGTCCTGCAACAAAAAGATAGGTATTTAGTTTCTATAAAGCACATGAAATTGAACATCAACAACTGCCATAATCTGATTTAATTTGACAGAAGCATTCAAAGTTGATTGTATTTCCTACCACCCAGGTAAAGGAATAGATCATGTGACTTCTATTTCAACCACAAGATCCCGTACGGCAAGTCTCTTCCACAGTTCCAAGGAGAGGACATGCTATAGCACTAATCTCCAAAGGCCAACTATATAGAGACAATGGTGTCCTGTCTGCAGGATATGAGGTCCACATTGTAGCCCTACAAATTTCTATGAAATTGGTGGAGAACTGCTATGAGTGTGCTTTCATAGAATGAGGTTTGGTAAAAGTTGGGTCTTGCATGTTGTGGCTATACATGACTTGACCACCTGACTGTAGTAGAGTATAAGACCTTGGTCTGCCTCAGAGGCCAGCAAACCTGGGAACAATGTGCCTTTAGAAAGCAAGGGCAGAAAATAATTGTTGCTGAACAATTTTGAGGTTCATCTTGCATGCTATTATCTAACCACTCACTCTGCTATGTCCACTGGAAGTTTGTTGAGAGTGCTGACTTTAGAATGCACTGTCACTTGGAGCTCCTAATCAGAATTTTCTCCTTTCAAAATGGTGTCAAAAGTTGGCACAAAGGTAAGGGATTAATGGTGTTTGGCAGGTTCCTCCCCATATAACCTTCCTAACCTGTACTGTCCAAAGTGGACAGTTTTGGCTCTCTCTGTAATCTCTCAAGTTGCACTCCCACTGAATGGCTCCCACCACAGCAAGGGCCAGCATGCACTGCCTCTAGATCACAAGAACTGGAGACATTGTGGGCACTGGAAGTCCCTGTGGTGGCCAGAGCAGCTGTATAGGGTCTTTGCTTTAGGGTCTTTGACAATACTTAGTTGTAGGCTCAGTGATTACTCATTTCCCAGTTGGCCCCCTGAGCCAGAAAATAAGAGGAAAAGCAAAAGTGGAGAATAAAAGGTTTGTTTGTTTTTTAAGGCAAAAAGGAATGATTCAGAAAAAAGGAGTAGGAAATAACAGAAACCAACAAAAAGGGCCAAAGGAAGTACACACTGTAGATAGAGGAGCTGCAGCTGAACAACTTGGCCTGGGTAAGATAGGACCAGATCTGGTGGTTGAACTCTAGACCACATAACCCCTGCCTTTTACTTGATGTCTCTCGTAAATTTATAAATTAAAGTCTTGTGAAGGCATACAATATGGGCTACAGTGTATGATTCTCTTCAGAAAAAGCCTCTCTCCTTTTACTAATAGTATTACTGTGTACTGTGTTGCACAGCAGAGTATCGCAAGCCAAGAAGATCTCCCAAATGTTAGGCTCTCATGCTTAGAAATAAGTACAGGACTGCATCCAAGCATTCCCCTTCCTCCAGAGGAACTTCTGAATCCTTAAAGTTTAAAAGGGTCAGTTCATTACCTCCACAAAGCAAGCCATCAGATCGATCACAGTTGAAGTTATCACATTCGCAAAACCGGCCAGAGTAGATCTCATTTGCATTCTCTCTCTTCCTGCACACACACTGTCCACAAATACATTCTCCATTGTTACTACATATTTCTGAACTGTTTGCTCGTCTACAGGTGCTTGATATATCTTCACTGTTTACTTCATCCATGCTGCATTCACAGAGCTTTCCAATACGTCCTGGTTTACACCTAAAACAGAAAATGGTTCTCATTACTAAACTGTTAACTAAAATCAATGCAAAACTTTCTTTCCCCTCATATACATATTGAGAAGGGGGTGGGATGAGATACTGGTGCATAGATACAGGAAACAGTCTCTTTCACGAGAGCATGATTCATCCTAGAGGCAGATGTTCCGAAACTGAAGAGCAGCAGTTTGGGGAAGCTGCTGAATGACTCTTCTACAAAGTTCATTAATATAGCAGCTGCTACTAATTGCTGTAAAAATAATATAAATGCTAATTTATTCCAAAGGTGAAATGAGGCACATGCCTGCTTGACACACCAGACATTCATTTTTCTGTGCTAGAAAGGTCTTGAAGAATGGTCTGCTACAATTGCAATTAAGAATAGGCCCAATTAGCCTGCAACAGTATTAATATTCACCACTTTAATAATAATAATAATAATAATAATAATAATAATAATAATAATAGTTATATATTTATTTACTGCCCACTTTATTCCCCACAGGACTCAAACAGATAAAAAAACACACCCATAAAGTACCTAGCTTTTTCAAAAACGAAAACGAAACAAAAAAACAGTGTGGTCAAAATTATTTTTAGAAATACATGGGAATTTAAAGATCCTCGTAGGAATAAGCTGCCGGTGTTCATGGGGGAAAGGAAGGCAGGAGGGGCCAGTATGATATGACTGAAGGTACCTGAAGGCCCAGCATTAAAATACAAATTTCATGCTTGCTTAAGGAGCTGACTTGGGTTCCCTTCCCTTTATTTACGTTTTTTCCTATATGAGGAGAAAGGACACACAACTTCTCTTTGTGTAAGGATTATGTGGCACAGGAAGGAAAGAGGCTAAGAAAGAAACAAGACGCAGTGCAGAAATAGCAGGAGACGGGAAAATGAGAAGGAAAATGAGGTATGTGGTAGGAATTGGGAGAAAGTTGAGGTTTGGAGAAAGAGAGGCAGGTGGTGGATAGAAATGATGAATAAAAAAATGAGTGAAGGGCCATTTAAAGTAGGAGGAAAAGGGGAGTGGCAGAGAATAGGGACTCTCATGAGTCCTCCAAAGCATCTATTTTCAGTGTCGAGACTCAATCCTGAAGCATGTGAGGAATACATGGAGGTTCTCCTGAGCTGGTGGACAGCACATTCCCTTCAGCGCTGATTCCACCCAAGAAGAATCAGGGAAAGGTCTTCCAACTAAATTTGTGTCTAGTCTGGGATATTTTTTTGGGCCATTTACAGTCAAGGGATATTTTATTTCCTAGCAGATTTATCTGAGGGAGAGAAAAAACATTAATATTTATCTACCTGCAGGCACCACACTCAAATGGTCCACTTCCATGGGAGCAAATAGGGCTGTCTGGAATTCCGTCCTTGTGACATTCACATTCACAGATGAACTCCAGATTAATTTCTACCTCTTCAGTGAAACCTAGTGGCTTGATTTTAATGGTTTCATCCTGCCCTTTTTCTGGACACTGGTTGGCTGTTACTTTAATCTCAAAGCTAACCTGTAAGCAAAATAAAGAGTACATAGGTAAATTGTTTGACACTGATTAGAGGGGGTGAAGCAATAGCACACCGATTCCAGAATGCAGAAAGTTACCTCATCTCCAATTGAAATGTTGGAGCACTTTCTTCCTTCATCTCCTGTACCATTCACTTCATTCTTGCAGAAAGATTTATATTCAATTGTGACTTCTTTTGGTAGTTTGTTGTTTTCCAGAATGACTTCTGAAGACAATGACTAACACAAAAGTCAAGTAGTTTAGTGAAGGATAATGGAACATGCAGCCCAACTTCATCTGGAAAGCCACAGGTTTTTCTACTCTGTGGTCTCCCAGATTGTCCAAACAGTTCCTTAAAAACACTTGGAAAATACCCTCTTGCAAGAGATACATGTTCAACAGATTCTATCTAGTCCTTTTAAAACGTGCATTTCTGAAGGGACTACAGTGGTACCCTGGTTCTCAAACACCTTGGTACTCAAACAACTTGGAACCCAAACACTGCAAACTCGGAAGTAAGTGTTCCTGTTTGTGAACTTTTTCCGGAAGCTGAACGTGCTCCATTTTGAGTGCCACACTTACGTTTTGAGAGTTATGCTGAGTTTTGTCTGTTTTTGCTATTTATTTTGCATTTTTGTTTTTGTGGCTCTTTTTTGTTTTGTTTTTGTTACTGTGTGGAACCCAGTTCAGCTACTGATTGATTGTGTGACATTGTTTATTGCTTTTACTTTATGGTTCAATGGTCTCGTTAGATAGTAAAATTCATGTTAAATTCCTGTTTTAGAGGGTTGTTTTTTAAAGTCTGGAACGGATGAATCCATTTTGCATTACTTTCTATGGGAAAGCACGTCTTGATTTTGGAATGGACTTCCAGAACGGATTAAGTTTGAGAACCAAGGTACCGCTGTATTAGTTTTCTCTGTATCTTGACACAGCAAGTTTTGAACTAGTGTTACCGTTTTCTCATGGGTTTTGTGCAGCCAGCGTCATTGTAGCTTACAAAACGGATAAAAGAGATTGATAAAATTGTATTGCTGATAAGATCAGCACTGCTATTTTCCTCTCCTGACTCCTCCCCTGATAAACCACACACAAACATATTGAAAAGGACTGCAGACTGTTTAAGGCTTTATAGGTTAAAATCAGCACTCTGAACTGGGTCTGGAAACTAACTGACAGCCAGTGCAGTCAAGCCAGGACCAGTGTAATCTGCTCAAACCTGTCTTGCCCTGTGAGCAAGGTATCTGGGTGGCTAGAATGGGAAGCTACCAACTCTTTTTATACTACATATACAACCCAGAACCTCATTTGCTTAAATAAGGGATGGGGAACCTCCAGCCAGGCTTCCCCATTTGGCACAAGAGTCCAAGCCATGGCTACCTGCCCTACACCTAATGTTGTATGTGACAAGTGTGGAGCAAGTAAAGGCAGGACTTGGTAAAAGGTGCTTTGAAGCTGATCATCAGTGCTGGAGAAGCACTGCACAAAGGGTTTCTTCAGTGCTGACAGTCAGCTGACTGATGGCAATACTGCACACATTTTTTGCTTATACATTTGATTTCAAACCATGCAAGCAAAGATTGCCATTGCAACATCAGGTGATTGACAAGGGGGTGGCCCTGTCCACCTGTCAAACTTGACTTGTGTGTATATGTATATGTAGCCAGGTCCGGATCCCTGTAGTGATGTATGGAAGTGAGAGCTGGACCATAAAGAAGGCTGATTGCCGAAGAATTGATGCTTTTGAATTATGGTGTTGGAGGAGACTCTTGAGAGTCCCATGGACTGCAAGAAGATCAAACCTATCCATTCTTAAGGAAATCATCCCTGACTGAATGCTCAATGGAAGGACAGATCCTGAAGCTGAGGCTCCAATACTTTGGCCACCTCATGAGAAGAGAAGACTCCCTGGAAAAGACCCTGATGTTGGGAAAGATTGTGGGCACAAGGAGAAGAGGACGACAGAGGACGAGATGGTTGGACAGTGTTCTCGAAGCTACCAGCATGAGTTTGACCAAACTGCAGGAGGCAGTGGAAGACATGAGTGCCTGGCGTTCTCCGGTCCATGGGGTCACGAAGAGTCGGACATGACTAAACGACTAAACAACAACAACAACAATGCGCCATCGAATCTAATGCACACCTCAATTTTTAAAATCTTGGAACCAAAAACGGTTTTTGCTGGCGAATGTAAATGCACCATCAAATCTAATGTGCACCCTAATTTTCGCAACATGATTTGGCCAAAAAAGGTGTGCATTACATTTGAGTAAATACAGTATCTCCTTGGCTTGGCCGTCGCATATACTGTAGTAACTTTGTTATTAACTGCCATATGCAACTATTTCTGTGATTTTTAAGATCTGTTGATTATGCCAAGAAATCCTCCCAAGCACTTAATATACCGCAGTAGTTTGTGGCCTGGTGTTTTCATTCCTTTCTTGAAAACACACCAGAAAGTTTGGCACTGATACATAGTGAAATGCCAAACATATTTGCCTAGGATGCTAAGCAAAAGTAGACGATTTTGGCTGTCAAAACACAATGGAATTTTATGTCATGCTGCCATAAGAGTTTGGTCAAGAGCTTGCCATCATCAAGATCTATCAGGGTCCATATCTATTCATCTTTTGAAAATGATGGATAATCTGTCCTGCATTTTCTAAGAAGAAAGCTGTTCTGAATTACCATTTCCACTAGAATATTTCAAAAATTTGACAACTTGGAAGAATAATTATAAATCAGGTTCACGTCAGACATTCACCAAGGTCCTTGGCAATAGTGTTATGAAAAGCAATATTTTGGTTAAAAGGAAAGGTTCATCAGAAAAAGTACATGAATAATTTTCTAAAAAATGAGCACTTCTAATGACAGTAATAGAAATCTGCTGAGTCCAAGCTGTAGTGGTGTAATGTTCAGGGGTTGTAATGAGGCCAGTGATTGGCTGTATTCCACCAGTGTTTGAAAAAATGTGTTTTGGAGATCAAATGTACCCTTAGGTGAGGGATGGGGAACCTCTTTGGCCCATATCTTTATCTCTCTCCACCTCACAGGCCAACTATTACAAGTGGGCAGAGCCACCTATCAAAGAAGTGGAATCTGAGCATGTTGTCTCTTAACTGAAGCCGTCACCAACAAGATATCCTGTTTTTATAGTAAACAGTTCATTTTTAACTCTATACATCCAGTATCCATTGGAAGACTGAGAAACCCATGTTTTGTCCTCTATTTCAGTTCCCATCTGATGGAAGAAGACTTAGTCATTGGTACCACCCATTAGCATTCAGTTAAAACAGAGGGTGGATTACTGGGAGACTTTGGAAACTCACTATAGATCTCAGCCTAACTCATCTTGCAGAATGCCTCTAAGGAGAAAATTTATAGAGGTAAAAAATAGATCCAGTTTAACCCATTATTAGCCTTAGGGTATTGCGCGGGGGGGGGGGGGATCCACACATGGTGTAGTGTAATGGTAAAAAATGATGGATTCTGCCCCTCTCAGCACATTTAAGCTTTCCTCATGAAAAAAACCTCCAAGACCTTCTAGACATAGGATCCCTTTAAAACAATTTCTTGGCCAAATTCACCCTGAGTGTTCCTATAATTTTCATTGTGGGTTAGGATTTCCACTTCATCCTTTACACACACTCTTAATGAGAAAAAGTAGGGAGGGAGGGAGGATGAATTATTTTACCATGCCCAAATAACCAAAGCTTATTAAAGGCTCAATAATCCAAGGGGATTTATTTTGTGATTGTCCCATTATAGGTAAAAAGCACGTACTCAAGTCAAGCTGTGGAATTAGCTAAATCTGCCTGTTCTGAAGGCGAGAAACAAGTATTATAGCTTGCAGCTATGGTAAAGAAATATTTAAGACATACTTCCTCCTGATACCTCTTCTCCTTGTGGGATATATTCAGGGTGGTACAATACACAGAGTTGGGCTTTATTGGGGAAAAAACCTCCCCCTTCAGCCATTTACTGCAACAAGGGTTTTGCAATGAAAGTATTTTGTTATGATTAGGTCCTCCTCCCCTTTTTAAACAGTTGACATATATCTGTAACAGTGTTACTTTCAGTTTATATCTCCATTATTCCAGTTTAACAGCATCACACAAAAGGAAAGTAGCTACTTTTCTACCATTTCTTGTTGATTATAAACTATATTGCATAAAATGCAGTAGTAAATACGGTAATCTGGGAGAATTGTTTATTACATTTTTTTCAGTGCTTTTTACATAAATGTCTCAAAGTGACTTAAAGAGTATTTAAAAATTCTGGACTACCTGCCAAACATCTAAAAACTGTGATCGTCATATGTTGAGAAAATATCTGAAGACAGGTACTTGCCACTTCATATTCTTTATATGCCTTTGAAACAAGGTAAATATATTGGGTGAAGCATTTTATGGACATATTATCCTTAATTCTGCATTAAACCAGCACATGGTGCTTAGCATATGTTTTGTTAAGTACAAATTTTAAAATAGTTCATGACCATCTTAGAATCAGCATAAGCCCAAGGCGTTTTAGGACTTTTTTGATGTTATCACATAACATAAAAAGTTGGCTTGGCTCACTTTCTTAAGCTATCTTTCTTACAGCCATTTGTTGTCCTGGTACCTTTTTGGGATGCAGCTGCTCTGAGTTTGCAGCGTTTTTTCCTGCCAGTGAGACCTTGTCTTAGATAAGGAGTTCAAGTCATGTACAAATGATGTGTTTATGGAGCAAGATTTTGAATTTTAACTCAGTAAAGATGTCCTCTTGCCTCATATTTACTTAAATATAAACCAGGCCGTTCTGTCTGAGGAAGGAGTTCACTCCTGCTTCTTGGTTTCAGCTAAGGCCTTCAGCAATTCTTGAGTGCAGATTCGCAAGGAATACAAGCAACTCTTCTGTCACTGTGATTTAAATGAGGTTAGGATCTAGCTCATTATCTGTTTAACAGTTCATTGACACAAGGCGCTGGAAGCAGAAAAATCTCAATCTCTTGGGGGGGGGGGGGGAAATGGTACCCATTGGTCAATGTGTCAGAAGATAGCTTTCCTGCTTTTTAAACAAGGATATTAATATACATTTAATGGCAAAATCCTAGGCAAAAGTCGAAGGTTACAATGCAAATGTATAAAAGATACTATTAAAGAAACTTGACTTGACTCAATTATCTTCATCTTATTTTTATAAGTTTCATTATGGCCAATTGTTGCCTACAAGTTAAAATTAGAAATTGCTTTGAAGGAAACTTAAACCTAGGAAAATAACTGACTGAGCTGGACTCAGTACTTATGCCACTGGAAAAGTCAGCTATGAGGTTTAATTTAGCCATTTTTAAAATTAATTATGCTGAATCCTGATTTCCCCCCCATCACATTTGTTGCACTATAACTTTCCCCCATGCTTTACTGTTTTACACAGTGATGACTTAGGGCTTCTGTTATATTTACCCCCATCCCCATCCCCATCCCCTCCCCACCCCGTTTTGTTTTATCTTGTGATGACCTATAGTTTTAGGCAGTGCTATTTTTCTAGAAAAAGAGGTGCCAGAGCTCACCATGAACACCTCCCTCGGTCTCTTAGAATGACATTGGCGCTCACTTGAGAGGGGCCAGAACTGATTTCCAGTGAGTTCTGGCTGCAAAACATCCCTGGTTTTAGGCAATAAATTTGAGCTGGTTGATTGCATATACTCAAATGCTTACATTAGCAGTGGACAATCTCCAGCCCATGTGCCTAATTTGGCTTGGCACCCCCAATGTGGCCCATAAGGCCAATTGCCACAAGCTGTACGAGCTTGCCCTAAAGCTGACATATTGCTCCAGGACAGCAAAATGAACCTCTGTGCCTCCAAGTGTAAGAAGAAAGTGACAACAAAGTTAACAAGAGGGTACAAGCACACAGAAAGTGGGTATGACATAAGGGCTGCAGTTTTACAATTCACTAAATATGAAATAGTTTTTTAAAAAAATAAAAAATAAAAAAATGCATGATTAGGATATTTCCAGTATAGTTCATGTAACAATTCACAGAGAACAAAAAACACAAATCCTGTGCAACTTGCAACCTCAAACCTCAATTTCTTCTCCTGCCAACCCCATCCCTTCCTGCTTACTCAAGTTTAGCCTTAGCATTTTATTAACTGTGTTAATTTGCAACTTTCTACTAAAAGGTCTCAAAGCGACTTAATAATAAACAAAAGGCTAAAAATACAATTAAAAACCAGATACAAAGAAAACAAATTGCAATAAACAAAATATTTAAAGTGCATATCCTAGAAACCCTATCCCATCCCGCTAAAAGATGAACACCACTAGAGAAGCCAGAATCAAAGCAGATGGTGCAAATTCACCAGAAGCATGGACACACAGGAATGTCTCTTAGCCTGGCAACTAAAAGCTGACAATGATGGTTGCTGTCTTGCCACTAATTTTTTACTTAGTCATAATTTAGTATGATCCAACTAAATTGCATTTTGGTGCATTTTTATTAATGCTATAAATCATCAACAAGGAACTTTCAGAAGGGAGTACTTAAAATAAAAAAAGAACCACACTCTCTCCAAGGTGTGATGATTCGAGAATTTTATTGGCTTTCACTAGGATCATATCATATATCTAAAGGCTCTGATACATTGCCAAGGATAGTAAGTGATTCATATACCGCATTAGAGCAAATGCACTGTCGCTCTTCACTCAATGCTGGGTTTGTATCTCCTTGAACGACTTAATGTTGTCTTGAAAGAGCTCTTTCATATACTCATTAGCTATTGTGCATGGAAGGGGTATTTATACCAGTGGGAGCATTTTTACACAATGCTCAGATTGTGCCAGACACGTTAGCATCATATTGAATTCAAAATCAATGCAGTATTGAGCCACTCAATGCTACTGTTCAGAGCAGCCGCTATTAAAAATATCAGACTCTTTGTCATTTTAATTGTTATGTACTTTGAGCACTTTCACTGAGCACATTGTTTGAGCTAAATAAAAGGTTAAATATGAATATTAACAGTATAGTTTTAATAGTGTCATGAAATTGAGAGAAATTGAATGCATTTTTATTTTATTTGAATGGTCTAGCTGATGCATATTTTCTCATTTCTGTGTGAATGCTGTCTAAAAGGTGTGCATTACTGGTGCACCAACTCTAATTTTTGCCAAAGGTAAACTTAGTATCTGGTCTGTTGACCACAGGACAGGAAGAGCAGAATGCAATCATTTGTGTTTCAAACAGCTGAATGTACAGGCAGATCAACTTGTTCACAACTGCAAATATGTGCAGCACTGGGAAATAATTAAATAATTGAATTCATACCCGGAAATGTCGGGAGAGAGGTGTATTTCTAAAGCTGTATTTCTAAAGATGCCTGTTCTTCTAAAGGTACGAAAACATTAATGGCTGGGCATACCTGATGCAAATAACTTACACTGATAAAAAAACCCAAAAAATCTCAAACTACACATTACATGCAAACATATCACAAAAGCCAAGACAGTGCAGAGCATAGTGACTAGGTTGCATGGGAAGGCAAAATACCACCAGCATATAACACTTTGCTTGTGGGATTTCCACTAGCTACCGATCTGCTATTGGGCCAACTTCAAGGTTTTGGTATTATAGCATAAACTCTCCTAAATGTATTATGCTGTACAATACTGCAAAGCTTTTTGCTGTTTTGTTGCAGCACACTAAAC